TTTACAACAGAATGAAAATGATTCTAGTCATTAATTGCTATCAATATTATTTTGTAAATCTATTTTGAGGGGTCTACAACCAATTGAGTTTTTTTTTCCCGATGGGTAGATTGATTGAAATATTTGTTGGTGGTATATTGAAGTGGAACTCAACGACTTACTTTTTACAAAATTTATTTATACGAAGACATAGTAACATTGACTACTAGTATACAATTAATTTATGGTCAGTAAATTTCAAAAGATACTAACAACAAATTCTTCATGTTTTTAAGCATAATGGAATAGTTTGATTTTGTGATTTTAAACAATATATAATTGATGTTAAATGTATGTAATAGCGAGTCAATTAGTTTTTATAATTTTAATTTTGATAATTTAATATATTTTCACTTAATTCATTCCACACTAGGGTAAATTTGAAAATGCCTTTCAATATAAAATTGATTGCTGTTTTTTTTTGTTTAATTTATACGAAATGAAGAGAAGTAACATTCACATTTTGTATGAAGCCCTCCAGCTTAAATTTTGTTATCGTCACTTGCTTTCATTTCGTATAGATTTTCAAAAACACAGCGTTCAATTCTTACATATATACATATCTTCGAAATAACAAATGAATGATTGTGGTATTGTGGTCTTAACATTTTGAATCTTAAAGTTTAACAATGCTTAAATTTGTATAATGTGATGTTGAATTTGAGCTTTTAATATATAGAAAGCGGTCAGAGAACTATCTTGAATCGATTGGCTTTGAAATGGTTTGAGTCGTAACTCCTATTTGAAATCCTAGTCTTTCTTCAGTGACAATGATGATTGTGCTAATAAAAAATGTTTGTATGATATTTTAACTAGCACAAAAGTCAATGATTTGTTGGCAAATATTGCAGCAACGATACCTCAGAGCGGGTTCCCGCAGAACCCAGTTCTTTTCTCTATATTATGGGAAATCTCATTAACTTGACATGGCTTATAGCGAATTCAAATACGATTTAAAATTCAAAGGCCAACCACTCACCTTCTTTACACCAGCATCTGTAGAGGAAGTACGTAAAATTATTTTGAAAGCTCCAACCAAATCATGCGAATTAGATCCTCTTCCGACAAATATATTAAAACCGTGTCTAAACAGTTTAGCTACCGTCATCACCAAGATAGTGAACTTGTCACTGGAACAGTGTACTCATCATCTTTCAAGGAGGCAGTTGTCCGACCACTCTTGAAAAAGGTTGGTCTAGACAAAGAGATATTGAAAAATTATCGACCAGTCTCTAATCTTCCGTTCGTATCCAAAGTGGTCGAAAAAGTCGTCGAGACTCGCCTTGAAAACCATCATACGTCAAACTCTCTTCACGACAATGTACAATCAGCCTATCGTGCGTGTCATTCGACCGAGACAGCATTACTTCGTGTGCATCATGACATCACTGTTGCACTTGATAACGACTGTTGTGCCGTTTTACTCATGCTAGACCTATCGGCTGCTTTCGATGTTATCGATCATCCTATTCTCATAAAGCGGATGGAATACTCTTGTGGGATAACCAGTACAGCACTTAGTTGGTTGAAGTCATATCTCGAGACGAGGACTCAGCGAATCGCTATTGGTTCTGTTTTTTCTGATGAGATTCGTCTTCTATTTGGTGTTCCTCAAGGATCGGTCTTGGGACCAAAACTTTATTGCATTTTCGCAAGACCAATTGGTGAAATATGTAAACGACATAATATGTGTTATCACTGTTATGCAGACGACACACAAGTTTATCTCGTGTTTAAACCACTTGATAATTGGACAAATATATCAAAGCGACTTGAGGCTTGCGTAGCTGACATCAGCAAGTGGATGTGCTCGAATCTGCTAAAATTAAACGAGGACAAAACTGAGCTTTTAGTGTTTGCTCCAAAAAACCGAGTGAAGAACCTCTCAGACTTGCATCTCAAGTTTGGTGGAAACGTTGTCAGTGATACTGAGTGCGTAAAAAACCTAGGCATTTATTTTGAGAAAACTTTGGCAATGGACAAACAAATTAGCGCTGTTTCAAAATCATGTTTTCATCAGATAAGAAACATTGGACGAATTCGTCCATTTATTACCGAAGAAGCATGCAAAACATTAGTATGCTCCCTTGTAACCTCTCGTTTGGATTATGGGAACGCATTGCTGTATGGACTCCCATCAACTACTATTCAAAGATTACAGCGAGTTCAAAACACAGCAGCCAGGGTCATTACAAGGAGGAGGAAATACGACCACATAAAGCCAATCCTAAAGTCTCTCCATTGGCTCCCCGTAACATACCGATGCCAATATAAACTCCTCGTCTATGTGTTCAAGGCTTTGTATGAGGAGGCACCGGTCTACCTACAAGAACTCGTTAATATATATAGACCAATGCGAACTCTCAGATCTGAAAATGCCATGATTTTAACAACACCACGTGTGAGAACTAAAACATATGGGGAAAGGAGATTCGACAAAGCAGCAGCCGTTCTATGGAATGATTTACCAAGTGATATACGGAACATCCATTCTGTGAACGCTTTTAAGAAACACCTGAAAACTCATTTATTCAGACATGCTTTTTCATAGTTCTTAAAATATTTTATATCGCTGTAATTTTTTAATTTTTAAGCAAATATTTTTTTTTTTTTTTTTTTTTTTTTTTAATTTTTAAGCAAATATTTTTTGAATTTTTTAAGCAAATATTTTTAATTTATTTTATTTGTACGGTTTCAATGTCTCCTTTATTTTACCATGCCCATTTATATAAATTTTATTGTTGATCAGTAAATTTAATAGTATAGTTTTATATGCCATTTATTTTAAATATGTTTGTTTTATGATCTCATAACATGGGCTTTCATATTTTATTGTTAATGCTTATATATGTGTGTGAATATGTTGTAAAGCGCTTAGGGAAATTTTTGATATTATATAATGCGCTGTTATAAATACTGTATAATAATAATTATAGTTTAAAATGAAGTTGAGAAAATACTATATATAGTTTTTTGTATTGAAATTCCTCTTTCATTCTAACTAGCTGAAAAGGGCACGTCCGCCTTGGCAAACAACAATTCATAATTCAGATCGCTCTAGTTAAAAATGCCAGATATTCTTCTTTTAAATTCCATTAAATGCCTGGCTAATTAGAACCGATTAGAGTGGCAATTCAAGGTAGGTAAAGTGTCCGGTTGGGATCGTGTTTTTCGTAGTTAATTGAACGTTGGTTGTTTTTCGTGTGAATTTGATGCAAAAATATAAACAAACAGACATTTCTTTCTGGTAAGACGCGAAACCGAAGCTTAAAAAATATAAACGGTATTTAAGTTAACGTGATAAAAAGTTATTATTAACAGCACGTAATTTGAAGTTATACATTCAAGTTAAATATATCATTAGAATGGTTTTTTTGGAAAATGTGAAATAAAGCTATTTCAATCCATGCACATATGAATGAACAAAGAAAATGCGGTCATATAATCTATATATCCTTACATTCACAGACACTTTACAGAAATACTAGTATATTGATGAATAAGGTCATTTTGAGAATAAATTAATTTTGAATGTCCGGGTTTTTCGACTGTAGGGTATAGGTTTTGTCGAGTGAATGATTTGCACCAAAATTGTCGTTCATTTGTATAAGTTGTTTCGTTTATATTTATATTAAGCGTGTATATGTGTGCTTTTTGACAGAAAACTCATACTAATTGTTTTTATTTACAAGTTTTCCTTATCATGAAAATAGTGTTTTATCTTTTCTGCAATGGAAAAGAAGAACATTGTACAATAATTGTATCTATTATTGTGAAGATGAATCCTATCTGGCATATGTGATACTTGGTCGTGCAGTAACACCCACCGTGATAGCTTGCTTAAATCATTTATTAACAAATGTATTTATTCAATTTAAGAAGTCATATATGAAAATAAACATCACAGGAGCTTTATATCTCCACATACTTCCAATACCAGCTTAGGGCAGCCGAATAGACGGAGGCAACATATTAAAATAATTTGATATCCTTGATGTTCTTCTATGATACATGATAATATCAAAAATGTTTAGGACTAAAAGGAGATGGAGGTAAGCGTCAATGAGACAGCACCAAACGAAAAAGTAACCAAAGGTCATCTCAGAGGGTAACAGTCAGTTTCAACGATATCCACTTGCTATTCCATTTTTCAAGCTCTAAATAATTCCAAGTCTAGGAATAAATTAAAGATACTATCAAAGATCAGAAATTAACACACTGTGCTCATGCAGTTTTGATATTCGATATCAATTACACAAATCAATTAACTTAAAACGGCGGGTTTGACTAGTGAAACAGGAACTATTCATGAGAGATCATTGAACTGCTGACCCTTCTGTAGTAGATGAGTTCACCCCAGTTTTTGGTAAGGTTCGTGTTGCAACTATCCACTTATGTTCTGTTTGTGTCATTTCTTTCTTCTTCTCAAATTTCATACATTTCCCTATAATTTGTATTGAATAATACATATTGTCTTATGTAAATATTACATGTATTATGAAATGGACCTCGTATGTTTAAAAGTTTGTCCTGCGACACAAGTTTTCATTTTCTTGTGTTGACTGGGCAATAAAATATGTTTAAAAGCAAGGTATCACATATCCGATTGAACTTGCCGGAAGAAACCCTTGTCTTATAATCTTAAGTTGTAATTGACAAAAAAAAATGATATCCTTAATCCTGAAAGTACCTGTCGGAAGAAAACACTAGTCATGACAGATCATCGGCTTAAGTAAGTGTAATTTGACATAAAATTCAGTCAGTGTGATATATTTTGTTGAGTTTTATTATTTCCAGTTCTGATATCTCTTTAACATATTTGTCCTCATATAAGTTGTTTTCTTCAAATATCATAGAACTGTCAGTTTTAAGCTGGATCCCTATTTTAAGTAAGGGCCACAGTGGCATCCTGTTCATCCACCCGACATATAGGTAGTTGGTCTTATCTGTAGTGATGAACCGGAAGCGGAAGTAAATTATGTTTAGCGTCGTGGCAGGTGCTCGTTAACAACAACACTACCGAACAGCTCACTATTCTTACAAAATTTAAAGTAAAGTTTGATTTTTGTGATCTGTAATTTACCAAAGTAAGTATTTCCATTCACCTGATTCAACCAGTTCCTTCTACAATTCTAAATTATCTTGTAATAATGCAATAGTACATTGTATCCCCATAACTGTAACTGTAAACTATTAAGATTCGTTCTGAGCTGTTTTCTAAATCTGTCGATAACCTAGTGCAGCAAAACAAAGAAAAAGAACCCAGGGGATTGTATCTCATCATGTATTTTCATTCACCTGATATGATTGTGTCAGTTTCATTACAAAAACAATTGGTCATGTTTGTCCTGAACATGTATGAAATATTTGCCACTGGACGTTGAGCAACCAACAATCAATCATTAATTTACAATTTAGTCAATTATTCACTGTCACATAAATGTAAATGTAGCTGTGAATCTATATGATAATAGGTCAGTTCACAATTTCTGATAACATTTTCATCCAGAAGGATGGAAGGGGGAAATGATGATGTCATTATAATCATATTTTGTTTGTTTTTACAGCATGAAAGCTTTAATTCTTGTTGGAGGTTATGGTACAAGGTTAAGACCTTTGACCCTGAGTTGTGCGAAACCATTGGTGGAATTTGGTAACAAGCCCATGTTGCTTCATCAGCTTGAAGCTTTAGTTGAGGTAAGTTTAATACTGAAGTGATGAGACTTCTAGGTTGGGTTGTATAACCTTGAAGTTAAAAATAGTTGAGGAAACCCTGAACTTAATAATAACAGCAAAGAAAGAATTCTAAGCCTTATATCCTAATTTCTCCATTTTTATAAAAAATTACTTCAGTTAGCTAACATGGCTAACATTTAACAGTAATAATTCAGTTACTGAGGGTTCATTATTAAATATATTTTTTATATACACAATGTATTGATTTTTGTGGGTATAGGCAGGGCTCAAAATTGCTGGTCATCACAGATGCCTTAAAGTTGTGTTCGGCAGCTTAAAACTTTGCAATTTAACTATAAGTTCATCCGGTGGTTTTATACCCAGGAAACAAGAAATACCTCCAAATATTTCACCTGTCAGTGAAGCTTTCAAGTATATGTATCACAAATTTTGTTTCTTTAACACCTCTGATTTGTTGACAACCCATTGTACTTTCATTTTCATGGACTATTCATGTGACTCATGCATAATGTTCTATGTATGTTCTTTTTGTTCCTCCTTTCACAAGAAGCACTATCATTGTAAGATCAACGTTTTTAAATTGTTTCCGTCTGAGTTCAGCATTTTTTTGTTTTGCAAACCAGAAGTCTATAAATTCAACCATTGCAATGTTAAAGTTTATTATGGGGCCAAACCCCCGAAGAAGCAAACAATGAGCGAGAGGGATGTTAAAAAAGATTATCAAAACAATAAGTCAATAAATGATGCCATACTGAATTCTCTACATAAAAAAACTTGACAGGGCAACCAGGGTTTTTTTTTTAATTTCTAGCCCTGTATACATGTAGGAGAACCACTAACTTAAAAGTTCAACAAAATACATGTACAAAATGTACATATTTTCTATAGGCCTGTATGCAAATTTGACCAAAAACATCGAAAGCAAATACCATGAAAATTAAATTTTTTCACAGATTTTTTTTCTCCAAAAATATTTTGGTTTGATTGATAAAGTAAACAATGTAAGAAAATTTTACATTGTTCTTGGAAACATTGAAATTTATTATTTATCTACATGTATTATTATCTAATTCATGCTTTTGTTGTATTTTGATATTTTCAAACCTTAATGCAGATGTAATGAAGCTTCCAGGTACAAAGGCAATTATTTAAGACATTTTTTTCTTAATAATGTCATAAGCTGAACACAAACTTGCAGACCTAGAGCTAAGGAGTAAATGTGCAAAATTTGTTTTCAGGCAGGTGCTACACATATTGTATTGGCTGTAAGCTACAGAGCAGAACAGATGGAACAAGAAATGAGGATTATGGAACAAAAGGTAATCTTATTCAGCCTTGTTCCCAATTTGTATTTTCACCTCGTTCTTGTGAGAGGAAAGTGTTCTTTTATAGAAAAAAAATAATCCTTTTTTTTTTAAAAGAGCTTGTTTCATTAACTGTAACTTGTGATTTGTTGAAAAAGGTTAAGTTGCAACTACTGGCATTAGTAGTACTGGGTATATATGAAAAGTAAAGAATGAAAAGAACATCCTCTCCCATTTAACCTCTGAACCATAAAAAGTAAAATATACATGTATGTAATTCGATAACGATGATGATCACTGATAAAGTTTTGTAATTACATGCAACTGGAATGATCAAATGTATTTATTCTTATATACAATTTAGTGGTATAAATTTTGTAACACTATTTAAAAATGATAGTATTTTTTTATAAATTGAAAGATACATGTTGTAATAACTCTGTATTATGAAATTTTCCTTTTCAGCTAGGAGTAACCATAACAATATCATTAGAATCAGAACCATTAGGAACTGGTAAGAATGTGTTTTTAAGACATTTTGATAAATGAAAAGTAGTTGGTACTTTTTGATACATTCTGATAAAAAAAAAATTATTGATGCCAAACAAATGCAGAGGCAATAAGTCCCCAAAATATATGTGTCTGTTTATGCCTCCAGTCATAAAAAGGGGTTGTCAGATTTTAATTTCTAATATCTGCATATTGACATAAATTGGAAAAAGTACATGCTTTCCCTAAGTCCAATTCCCATTCGCACATAATATTCGCTAATTCATGCATTTAAGACAGTTCATTTGTAATTTTCTATGTTCAGACATTTTTTTCACCTGATTATAATCAATCTTATTACCAATTTGTTTAAATAATGCAGTTTAAATAAGATTTTTAGTCTACTCAAATGACACAAAACGCAATATTTCTTGAATATTTTTTTGAAAGGCAATATACACTCTTTTAGGGAAGGCAATTAAAATTAGTGTTGGACAAGTGGCAGGAAATAGACATATACATGTATTTATTTTGGAAAGGCAATAAAATCCTTTCTGCTAGGCCATTCAAATTAGGGTAGGATAAGCAACAAACACAGCACAAACAGTTACATATGTATTTTTGATACTCAATTTATTATTTCAGCTGGACCCTTATCTCTGGCCAGTGAACATTTAACAAAAGACAACGAGCCATTTTTCGTATTGAATAGTGATGTAATCTGTGATTTCCCATTCAAACAAATGGTACAGTTTCATAAGCACCATGGGAAGGAGGGAACTATAGTTGTAAGTATATATATAATTAACTTTTTAAAAGCACATTAGAGGAGTCATTATTCACTGAAACACACTGAATGGCGATTTTTCACCTCACAGTTCAAATAATCTTAAAAATGGGTGATTATGGTACATTTGTGTTTACCTTGAGAAAATATTTCCACAAAATAAGTTCCAGGATATGCATAGAATCTTTCCTGAGGTATCACGAGTTCACAATATGTACTTGAAATATTTTTATAAAGGTATCCTTACACATCTAAAAGACATATATTACATGTTTATTTATTATGTTTTATGTTAATACTCTTTAAACTGGTTTACCTCAATTCAATTTTCAAGTAAGGCCCAAGAGAGGCTTTATGTATCTAACCCATATTTTGTATATTGTTATCCATTTTTATATGTTTTCTGTTTCTTTATAGAGATATTTGATGATTATTTTAGAAGTATGCAGTTGTGTCTAGGTTTTTATATGTCAACATCTGTTATTTTCTTTTGTACCTTTCTAATTTTTTATGATGTATTTTAACAGGTTACAAAAGTAGAAGAGCCATCTAAGTATGGTGTAGTAGTATATGATGCTGAGAATGGTAGAATAAACAACTTTGTAGAGAAACCACAGGAATATGTCTCTAACAAAATTAATGCTGGAATGTATATATTTAATCCATCAATCCTTAAAAGAATTCCTGTAAGTATGTCATTTGTCATTACGTTTAATTAGGAAAAAGTCATCTAGTATTATTTTAAAAATTCAGATGATCCTTTTGCACACATCGAAAAACTTACATACTGTGGATTCATAATTATTCGTTGGACACCAATTTTTGTGGATTTCGTGGGTACAGGTGAACCACGAATTTAAGTTCAACAAATAACAAATTTTCTTTAGGCTTGTATGAAGACTTCGGCTAAACCACGAAATTAAATATTCACGAACATATAAGTTTTCCTTAATCCACGAAAGTTGGTACCCACGAAAATAAATGAATCCACAGTATGATATTAATAATATTCAGTATTCTTAATAAATCAATTTTGTGTCATTGCAAATGTACTTTAATACATAATTCAAATTTAAATTTTCAGTTTATAAATTATATAAAACTAAGGTTGCCACTTCCTCAGGTAAAGCTGACCTTGGTGGTTTTGAATTTTCTGTTTAGGTCCAGTTGATCTTTATGCTCTCATATATTTTATATTTTTGAAAATTTTGATCTGAACTGTACCTAATGAAAGATATACCTTTGTAATTTGCATAAGAAGAATTGGTATCATGCTTTTTCATTCAACAGAAGTTTTAAGAATATGTATTTAAATGAGTACCTTTTGTGGTACACTCATTCTGAAAAACTGATATTGCTTAAAAGTATATCCCAACATTTATATTTTTTCTATTTCAGCTAAAACCAACATCAATTGAAAAAGAAGTATTCCCTTTTATGGCAAAAGATAATGAATTATATGCTATGGAATTACAAGGTTTGTATTTACATTGTATTAAATACTTATTATTTTGTCAATTTCCATCATTTTTAGTTGAACAACAATTGAACATGTCTTAATTTTAAAAATCGATATTGTGTTATTGATGGATCAATTGATCTATGGTAAGGGACATAACTCTGTAAAAAATCACTGTTTTGTTTGTCACATCCATTTGTAAATATTTGCTAAGCTTCTAATTTACAGGCATTATTGTGAGGTCTAACAGGGTGAAGCTGGAAAACTCATATATTACTTTTGTCATCTTGCATGGTCTACATTATCTGCACATTATCTTGTTAATCTGCCACTCATTGAAAACAGCTTGACCTAATTCTAGCAAACTTGCACAGATTCTATGGGACAATAAGTTGCACACCTGTTAGTATAATTTTCATTCTGGTTGATTTTTTTAGGGCTTCCAACACAAAAAGATTCAGTCATTTTTGCTAATATCATTTTGTTAATAAGGGCTTTACAGAAATCAACCTAACTTGCAAAGATGATATTTTTGTCTTGTGTGATTTTTAGGGCTTGCCACACCATTCCATGGACTTTCCCATTTGTGCTTTTATTATTTAGAGACATCAGTTGACACTTGTCTTCCTTGGAAGACTTAACAATATTTTCTAACGTTTTACATGAGTGCTTTAAAGGCATTTATGAAACTGACAATTACAATCACTGATTTTACAAATTTATCTAGCTTATCCTCTATGAGGGGGTACCCAACACTTTGACTAAAATAGATTTGGCTCGTTTAATTTTCATAAATTTTTGACAAAGTATTTTATTTGACCTGTTGACAAAAAGGTATAATTTCAAGAAATTTAAACCACACAGTTTACAGGAATAATTTCATTGGATATATGGCAGTTTGACAAACACTAATTTTGATCATTGAAAAGCTTGATTTTTCTTTATTAATAGTATCTGATGAAAACGTTCAGCTGATTTTAAAGAGTTAACTTTTTAAGGTGTTCTGTACCCTCTTATATGTAAAGAAATCTGATGATTAATTTAGTTCTGCAAAAAGTAGGTCAATGTATGTGGCCTCAATTTTGTGCTTAGAAAGTTTTTGTTACTGTACAATTCATTTCTCAATATATAAGAGGTATTTATCTATGAAGCGATTGTTTCATTTACAGTGTTATCTATCTACGCGTATTCAATTTATGTAAAGAGAAATATTTAAAATTGAATTTGCTGTTACAGGCTTTTGGATGGATGTTGGACAGCCCAAAGATTTTCTGACAGGCATGTGTATGTATTTAACATCATTACGACAGAAATCACCAGAAAAATTATATACTGGAGAGGGAGTAGTTGGAAATGTATTAGTTGTAAGTATTAAAATCAATTGTTAAACAAAATCAGTTATTCTGAAAATATAAGCTTTAAATTGTATAGTTTTGACATATTCCCACATATCTGAATTGAGTCATATTTCTTGAATGAGTATCCTGTGTATAGTTTTTTTGGGGAAATAATGTTTTAAACATGTTAAATGTATAGTTTAAAACAAAACCTTTAAATGAAGGCTTACAAAGATTTAATTATAAAATAAACTGAGGCTCCCCAAGTTACCTGTTTTTATTGGTTTTGTTTGATACATATATAAATGAATATTCTTTAACTACACATGAAAATTTCTGTGCAAGATGAGGGAATTTAATAACTTATATGAATATAAAATATATGTCATGCTTTTACAGGACCCTAGTGCCAAAATAGGACATAACTGTAGAATAGGTCCCAATGTAACAATTGGTCCAAATGTTGTTATAGAAGATGGTGTCTGTATAAAGAGATGTACAGTATTGAAAGAAGCACATCTAAAGTCTCATTCCTGGTTAGATTCATGTATAGTTGGATGGAAATGTAGTGTTGGCAGCTGGGTAAGTCAAGGGAGATAATTTAGTGTCTATATTGTACAGTAATATCCAATGAGACGTGTTTGTAAGGGTTGACTAATCCATGCTAATAGAGTGAAGAAGTTGTAACTGATTAGTATTGTAAGATATTTTTGATAAAGAGGGAGAAAGAAGTTCAGACATACCAAAACAATTTGAGTTTATTACTGAATACATAAATTCTGACATAACTAAAGCCGTTTAATAAAAAAACATAGCTAGATGCTTATTTCTGTGTTTGATAATTCTTCCTTGTATTTGAAGAAGTATGGATAAATCAATCTTGAATCTCAAATATGATGATGGATAATTAAAAAAAACAAATACATATTTTCTATTTAAAATATTAATAAGTAAGATTATTTCTAAGATTAATCCTTTATCATTACCGGTAGTGTTAAATTTGGAAACTTCTTGTCTTGTTATAAACTTTATTGATATGTTGTAGGTGAGAATGGAGAATGTATCAGTATTAGGAGAAGATGTAACAGTTAAAGATGAACTATATATAAATGGAGGTAGAATTCTCCCTCATAAATCAATTGCAGTGTCAGTCCCAGAACCTCAGATTATCATGTAAAGTGTTCACATCAGAGACAGTTAGGTTGGATTTAAAACAGGATGTAGCTGTGTGACAGAGCTAGCATTTCCATTATTTAAATTATTCAAGTTCATATAGAATAAGTGGTGTATTTCACTGTATGTTTATTTAAATGATATGATAGATTTTGGTTATGACCTCAAGAGAAATTGACTTTTCAGTTATCCTCTGTACATCATTTATAATTTTTATAGTGTAAAGTTTTACTATTTGCTGTATGAAAAAAGGGGGAAAAATGCTTTAAAAATGATCTACTTAATCTGTGTGTATGACACAAAACTGAATGGATGCTGTTAATCTGTCCATATCCTGTTTGTGTGTGTGTTTTTACTTATTTTCTGTTTTGTTTTGGGTTTTTTACATTGAGTATAAAACGATGTATGCTGGAATCATTGTAAAATACTGTCAACCAAATCATTTTGTTAGCAATTTATTTATGCCACTTTTGCAAGTAGTAAAAAATGTGAATAGGTCAAAGTTGAACCACGTTTATGTGAATACATCAACAAAATGTGAAATTGAATAGCTGCAAAAGTTGGCTAGAAAGGGCTGAATGCATCAAATTTATCTACGAAAATAATTTGGTTTTAGTATATAGATAATGAAATATCATAGGAAATCCGATACATATGTGGTTTAAAAGAAAGTATGACAAACTCATATTGAGCACTGTAGACATAATATTTGATTGATATGTGGCAGCTTACTAATAGAAATATAGTAGCTTTTTATAATATATATTCCAATATTTCATCTGAAAATGGTTTTGTAATAACAAAAGATGATATGGAGATTTAGTAAATGTAGCAATGCTATGAAAACATTTGTATGGTCCATTTTTTACAAAGATATGGATATCTTTAGAAAATGTTGATACTTAAGGTAAGATTTTTTAGGTCATAAAGTAATAAAAAGAGAAATTTTGGTTTGAAAATTATTGCAAAGCATGCCTACACTTTTTGTAAAATTTACACAAAAAAATACCCATTTTCACCTGATTGTCTCTACACAGATTGTTAATGTCAGCACATTTAAGGGCAGATAACTTAATTCAGTTGGGAAAGATTTTCCAATAATTTGTACATTAATTAAAATACCAGTGCTGACTATTGAAAATCTGACTATTGAAAATTGCATCTAAATTTTTTACCTAGTGTTTGTGTGTAAATGTTTGGAGTTTCTATGTTGGAATTTAGACTACCAGGTATTTTTGAAATCCTGTCTGTAAAAACGATTGCTATAGTATTTTTTCTAACGCCAGCACTCTATCTAATTGAGTGTTTATAAAATGAATATAAATCCTTTGCAAATCTGGTAAAAATGTTATAGATATAATTATGTGATGACATTATTATGATTTTAGGTTTTATATTTATTTAGATGCTTTCATAGTATGCTTCCTCTAACCTAGCATCAAATGTTGTATTTAACTAACAGTTTTGATTTCAAATTACACGTAAGGGACCATGATTTGTATTAAAATTTTTGTTGTTGTATATATAATTTGTTATTTATGTGATAATCCAAAATTTTTTAACAGAAATGCTTTAACCTTAAGTGTTATTAGTGCTAACTTGTCTTTGTTTTCCGTTGAATATTTACATTTGACAAATGTTGTTTCTAAGCAAACATCAATCAATAACAAAAACCCTTTTGGGGAAATATTCAAGATCACTTTTGAAAAGTTTACATTTGATTAGAATGACGCGTGACAGATTTTTTTTTTGTTTTTTTTTTGTTTTTGTGAATACAAAAACTAAAATGTTCAGAAACAGAATTGATGGTGAGAATTTGTTTTGTGCAGTCAGCTACGTGTATATCCATTAAACTGAGGTATCATTATATCGTAAAGAACATATTGATGGAATTGGTTCTTTAACATTTTCAAAGATCTTACATCTCCATAATCACCCCATCATTCCAAATAATTAAATAGGCAGTCAGACTTTGTTTTTAGTTGTAGCATTTATGTTGTTTTAAGATTATTTAAATTTAAGTTGTGATATTGTTTAAGTGTATTTATGGAAGATTAATTACATGGACATCATTCTTTATGCAATATTTATTAAAACAATCTTTTTTTTTATATATGAACTATGATATTGTTTTATGTCTGAAATTTATACAAACATATTGAATTATTTATATTTTTGAGGGAATAAAACTTAAAATTTATCCTCGTTCGTTCTGTTATTAAATTGATATTTTGCAGAAAATAGAAAACCTAAATTTGTTTACAGGTAATATAAACATACTACCTTAAGTAGAAGTTTTGTAGTATAATACAGCACAACAACAGAAATATCATCTGAGGCAAATTAAGGAAACATATTTTAGTTCGTCACATTGGCAAAAGCATTAAAAAAAAATAGAGGAAAGATTGCTCACCTGACAAAAACATGACAATATGGTAACGATTTTCACCTTTTATACATGAATTTTTTTTCTTTTTCTAGAAACTATTTATTTATATCCAAATATACAGTTTTTCGAGTGCATTTAAGTTTTAACAAGGCATACATAATTTTTTGTTCTGTACCAAGATCACATTAGTTATTAATGTAAAAGTTCAGGATAAAAGAAATAAAAAAATTCTTTCCATTCTCCCCCTACTCTTATCTAATTTCCACCAGTGAAACATGTGAGTGTTTTGTATTTTATTGAAAAAATCACAAAAGTCCATTGCCTCAGTGGAAAAGTGACCTATAAAAGTCATCATTGACCTTGCCTATAGCCAATGGAAATGTCACTTTTTTTCAAACATTGTAGGATAGTCCAACCAAATAAACACATATTTCTTTTCACTTATTCATATTGCACTCCATTCAGTGTGGTACCAGAAATATTTTTTCACATAGAAATATAGATAACAGGTCAAAACCATTAGAGAATAATGCTAAAATTGGTAAAAATTGTCATTCGCGAGCCCCGTTCTCCTTCCTATAAGGAGTTAATTGATGGTTTTAGTCAATAAGGGATTTTTGAAGATCTTTAATTGCTGACCATATTTGCTATTTTGTGTTTCTGTCAATTTATTTTAGTTTTCAAAATTATTGGCAAAAATCACTAGAATTAGTCAAAATTCTTCATTCAGGGGCAATATATCTTATAAGAGTCATCTTTCAGAAAAGAAAGTGGGTAGATCTTGACAGTTTGAGCTTTTTAGACAATTAATCGTAAAAAATTGGAGTTTTTTTTATGGTTCAGTCATATTAGAATTTTGTAGATCTTATATTGTTGATCGTTGTTGTTTTTACAGTGTGTCTATCACTCTATCTACTTGTTTTCAAGAAACTCAAACAGGCTAAAAAAATGATATTGGCATTCTTGTAGATGTTTTGTATTGTTGATCATTTTTGCTGTTATTAGTCTTAATTTATAGCAAAAATTTGTAAATTTGTTTAAAATCCTCATTTAGGACATTAACTCCAATAAGGATTAGATTGATTATTTCACTTCAGTCATATTAATTAGCATTTCTCTAGATCTTATTTTACTGATCTGTGTTTACAGTCTTTGTCTGTATAATCTAATTTAGATTTCAAGATTTCTGGGCGCTCTGGCCTCCTCCACCAATAACAACTGACCACCACGAAATAGCACAATAGTGTTGAAAGTGGCGTTAAACACCAATCAATCATTAATGGGACAATAACTCCCTATAGATATAAAGAGTTATCTAATATTTTGGCAGACATAGTAGTGGGTTCTGAGCTCTTTTTTTTTGCTCATGTCAGATTTTCTCCATCATAAGTTTTCAATGTATTAGACAATTGCTTGCTGTTTACCCGAATATTTCAATTTTTTTTTAACTAGTATTACAATGTACCAATAAAAAGTAAATAAACAAAAATATCGAACTCCAAGGGATATTAAAATAGTTCCTTTTCAAATGGCAAAATTAAAAGCTCAAGCACATCAAACGAATGGAAAACAACTGTCATATGGTGGATTAAACCTGGTTTTATAGCTAGCTAAACCTCTCACTTGTATGACAGTAGCATAGAATTCCATTATATATAGACAACAATATCTTGGTGTTTGATATTGTTCCAACCTTTTCATTTAATGGAAAGTCAATCAATGAATTTGGATGATTAGACTACTTTTTAGTTCAATGCACTTGCTTTCATACTTACAACCTTTCACTAGCAATATGTAATATATAAGTGGTTCAATAGTGAGTCAGTTTGAAGAGAAGACATCAGAATGAGACTAACATGCCATGTGCTATTGAGAATAATAAATGTGTGTCTGCCTGTAGGGTGGAATCCATGTAAATGTATTGGTCCTTTGAATAGACTAATTCATAAAAGTTATCAACTATCATTATTATGAGATCTTTACAATATGTCTTTATAGGTACTTCAATTTATTTTATTTTCAATTGTGTAATATATAAGAGAATATTACATATGGTTTGATTTTTTCTTGTTTCTCATTGGTTTATTTGGTCACATCTTTCCCAGTATATATATTGTATTTTTTCACTATTTTGCCATATATAATGTATTGACTGAGTGAAAGTCCTTAATTTATATATTACATATGTAAATTGTGAGAGTTTGAAAATTATATTGACTCGATGTTACTATTTTTTTAAATGATCTTGACTCCATGTTACTTAAAATAGTAACATCGAGTCAATATAATTTTCAAACTCACACAATTTACATATGTAATATATAAATTAAGGACTTTCACTCATTCAATACATTATATATGAACCTGTTAGATTATATTGAACCTTGGACTTCGTCCTCGGTCAATATAATCGGAACAGGTCCATATATAATGTATTGACCTCGTCAAAAGTCCATAATTGATAAACATATATAGCTATTCAATGGTCAAGACATGGTCTGACATCCTTCCATTTCTTATATTTTGACAATGCAAAAGGTCATGCTTTTCTCATACTGCTTATGATGTCTTTACACTAAATCTGTTGGAGGTGTACTGTTTGATATTTTAGTCTGTGAACTTTTATTAGTTAAAATTAGACTTTGAAATAACTATGAATTACTGCATGTAAGGTAAGATGGGTACTTTGTGTTTCCTTCATTTTGTTAGTTGTTTTAGTGTTTTAAGTGCAGATTATAAGAAGTCTAACACTTTTCATACCATACCACAAAGGAAAGGCTGGGATTGAGTTTGGGGGTGATGAATGATAAGGGGGTTCCAAAAATTTGGGGGGGGGGGGATTTTTTTTCCCATTTTTATACGACCGCAAAATTTTTTGCGGTCCTATATTGATATGACGTTGGGGTCGTGGTCGTAGTCGTCGCTGTGCGGCGGCATCGTCGTCCGACCACACACTGGTTTTCGCACTCTAACTTTAGTTTAAGTGAATGGATCTTTTTGAAATTTTACCATAAGGTACAATACCACAAAAGGAAGGTGGGGATTGAATTTGGGGGTTATGGTACCAACAGTTAAGGAATTAGGGGCCAAAAAGGGGCCAAAAATAAGCATTTTCTAGTTTCCAGACAATAAATGTGGAACGGTGTATGGATCTCTCTGAAATTATACTACAAGTTTCCATACCACAAAGGGATGGTTAGGATTTGCTTTGGGGGGTTATAGCTCAAACCGTTTAGGAATTAGGGGCAAAAAAGGGGGAAAAACAAGGTTGTCATGGTTTATGGACAAATACTTTAGTACAAAACATAATTTAAAGCAGTGTAAGGGAGATAAATCAAATACATCATTGAAATTATCTCCCTTACACTGCTTTTAAATTATGTATAAAGTAATGATTAATGAACAATTAAGATAATTTAAAACAGTGTAATGGAGGTAATCCAAATACAACGTTTTGGTTACTTCCCTTACACTGCTTTTAAATTATGTTTAAAGAAATGCATATTTATAAAGGAAGACCAGTAAAAATATCTGCAAATGTTGCATCTTTTTTTTTTACAAAAAAGTCCATATGAAAGATTTGACACTATATTTTAAATTCTATTATAAAATAGATTAAGTTAGCACTATGGTAATTTAAATGGGTAATTACGGTTGCAAACTCCATTGGAAATTTGAATTGAGATTATGACCATATCTTGAGGGAAAGAATTTTTTTGGGGAAAAAAGGGGGGGGGGGGGGTAAAAAGAAATTGTGGGGGGTCAATTTTTTCTCATTTCAGATTTCAGAAATTAAAAAGAATTATTCTTCAAATATTATTTTTTTTTCAAATTTCAAATATTGAAAAATTTCAAGAAGTAATCTTTAATTGCACAGTATGGCGCATTAGATATGTAAAATCTTTGACCACATTTATTTATTTGTTATGCCGAATCTAACCGTGTATTTAGATTTTTAATTTTGGGTCCTGTTTTCAAATTGGTCTACATTAAGGTCCAAAGGGTCCAAAATTAAACTTTGTTTGATTTTAACAAAAATTGAATATATGGGGTTCTTTGATATGCTGAATCTAAACATGTATTTAGATTTTTGATTTTTGGCCCAGTTTTCAAGTTGGTCCAAATTGGGGTCCAAAATTTAACTTTGTTTGATTTCAACAAAAATTGAATATATGGGGTTCTTTGATATGCTGAATCTAACCATGTATTTGGGTTTTTTATTTGTGGACCCCACTATCAAATTGTTTCATATTGAGGTCAAAAGGGTCCAAAATTAAACTTTGTTTGATTTCATCAAAAATTGAATTATTGGGGTTCTTTGATATGCCACATCTAACCGTGTAATTAGGTTTTTAATTTTGGGTCCTGTTTTTTTAATTGGTCTACATTAAGGTCCAAAGGGTCCAAAATTAAACTTAGTTTTATTTTATCAAAAATTGAATTCTTTGGATTCTTTGATATGCTGAATCTAAACATGTGTTTAGATTTTTAATTATGGGCCCAGTTTTCAAGTTGGTCCAAATTGGGGTCCAAAATTAAACTTTGTTTGATTTCAACAAAAATTGAATATATGGGGTTCTATGATATGCTGAATCTAACCAAGTATTTAGATTTTTTATTTGTGGGCCCGCTATCAAATTGGTTCATATTGAGGTCAAAAGGGTCCAAAATTAAACTTTGTTTGATTTCATCAAAAATTGAATTATTGGGGTTCTTTGATATTCCAAATCTAACCGTGTTTTAGATTTTTAATTTTGGGTCCTGTTTTTTAAATTGGTCAACATTAAGGTCCAAAGGGTCCAAAATTAAACTTTTAGTTTGATTTTAACAAAAATTGAATTCTTTGGGTTCTTTGATATGCTGAATCTAAACAAGTGTTTAGATTTTTGATTATGGGCCCAGTTTTCAAGTTGGTCCAAATTGGGGTCCGAAATTAAACTTTGTTTGATTTCAACAAAAATTGAATAAATGGGGTTCTATGATATGCTGAATTTAACCATGTATTTAGATTTTTTATTTGTGGGCCCGCTATCAAATTGGTTCATATTGAGGTCAAAAGGGTCCAAAATTAAACTTTGTTTGATTTCATCAAAAATTGAACTATTGGGGTTCTTTGATATTCCAAATCTAACTGTGTATTTAGATTTTTAATTTTGGGTCCCGTTTTTTAAACTGGTCTACATTAAGGTCCAAAGGGTCCAAAATTAAACTTAGTTTGATTTTAACAAAAATTGAATTCGTGGGGTTCTTTGATATGCTGAATCTAACCATGTATTTTGATTTTGGACATTGGACCATAATAGGTAAATTAAAAAAATTCAAGTTCTTAGACCACATTCTTTCTGTGTCAGAAACCTATGCTGTGTCAAATATTTAATCACAATCCAAATTCAGAGCTGTATCAAGCTTGAATGTTGTGTCCATACTTGCCCCAACTGTTCAGGGTTCGACCTCTGCGGTCGTATCAAGCTGCGCCCACCGAAGCATTTTATCATTCTTTAAAATTTTCCATTTTAAATTGGTTATTTCTGATTTATATATTAAAGCAAATAATAATGATATGGTTTGAATAGGTAAATTAAAAAATTTTAAGTACTTAGACCACATTCATTCTGTGTCAGAAACCTATGCTGTGTCAAGTATTTAATCACAATCCAAATTCAGTGCTGTATCAAACTTGAATGTTGTGTCCATACTTGCCCCAACTGTTCAGTGTTCGACTTCTGTGGTCGTATCAAGCTGCGCCCAGCGGAGCATTTTAAAAACAGTTGTTCTAATGTTGTGCTATTACAACACATTCCAAGGTAATATGGAGGATAGAGCCAAAACACATGTTAAAACCTGCCATTTTCTATATGTGCCTGTCCAAAGCAAGGAGCTTGTAGTCCAATTGGTGTCATTTGTTATCGACTACCATTATTACTTTTTCTTTTGAATGGTACTCCCTTAAAATTGTTTATCATTTCATTATCAAAAGACTTATTAGCTAACTATACAGTGTTGGTTTGGCTCATTATACTATGCAGTGTTGGTTTGGCTCATTGTAACTTTACAGTGTTGGTTTGGCTCATTGTAACTATACAGTGTTGGATTGGCTCATTATACTATACAGTGTTGGATTGGCTCATTGTAACTATACAGTGTTGGTTTGGCTCATTGTAACTATACAGTGTTGGTTTGGCTCATTGTAACTATACAGTGTTGGTTTGGCTCATTGATACTATACAGTGTTGGTTTGGCTCATTGTAACTATACAGTGTTGGATTGGCTCATTATACTATACAGTGTTGGTTTGGCTCATTATACTATAGTGTTGGATTGGCTCATTGTAACTATACAGTGTTGGATTGGCTCATTATACTATACAGTGTTGGATTGGCTCATTGTAACTATACAGTGTTGGATTGGCTCATTATACTATACAGTGTTGGTTTGGCTCATTATACTATAGTGTTGGATTGGCTCATTGTAACTATACAGTGTTGGATTGGCTCATTATATTATACAGTGTTGGATTGGCTCATTGTAACTATACAGTGTTGGATTGGCTCATTATACTATAGTGTTGGATTGGCTCATTATACTATACAGTGTTGGTTTGGCTCATTATACTATAGTGTTGGATTGGCTCATTGTAACTATACAGTGTTGGATTGGCTCATTATATTATACAGTGTTGGTTTGGCTCATTATACTATACAGTGTTGGTTTGGCTCATTATACTATACACTGTTGGTTTGGCTCATTATACTATAGTGTTGGATTGGCTCATTGTACTATACAGTGTTGGATTGGCTCATTATATTATACAGTGTTGGATTGGCTCATTGTAACTATACAGTGTTGGTTTGGCTCATTATACTATAGTGTTGGATCGGCTCATTGTAACTATAAACTGTTGGTTTGGCTCATTATACTATAGTGTTGGATTGGCTCATTGTACTATACAGTGTTGGATTGGCTCATTATATTATACAGTGTTGGATTGGCTCATTGTAACTATACAGTGTTGGATTGGCTCATTATACTATAGTGTTGGATTGGCTCATTATACTATACAGTGTTGGTTTGGCTCATTATACTATAGTGTTGGATTGGCTCATTGTAACTATACAGTGTTGGATTGGCTCATTATATTATACAGTGTTGGTTTGGCTCATTATACTATACAGTGTTGGTTTGGCTCATTATACTATACACTGTTGGTTTGGCTCATTATACTATAGTGTTGGATTGGCTCATTGTACTATAGTGTTGGATTGGCTCATTATATTATACAGTGTTGGATTGGCTCATTGTAACTATACAGTGTTGGTTTGGCTCATTATACTATACAGTGTTGGATTGGCTCATTATACTATACAGTGTTGGATTGGCTCATTATACTATAGTGTTGGATCGGCTCATTATACTATACAGTATTGGTTTGGCTCATTATAACTATACAGTGTTGGTTTGGCTCATTGTAACTATATAGTGTTGGTTTGGCTCATTGTAACTATACAGTGTTGGTTTGGCTCATTATACTATACAGTGTTGGATTGGCTCATTGTAACTATACAGTGTTGGATTGGCTCATTATACTATAGTGTTGGATCGGCTCATTATACTATACAGTATTGGTTTGGCTCATTGTAACTATACAGTGTTGGATTGGCTCTGTATACTATACAGTGTTAGTTTGGCTCATTATACTATACAGTGTTGGATTGGCTCATTGTAACAATACAGTGTTGGTTTGGCTCATTATACTATACAGTGTTGGTTTGGCTCATTGTAACAATACAGTGTTGGTTTGGCTCATTATACCATACAGTGTTGGTTTGGATCATTGTAACTATACAGTGTTGGTTTGGCTCTTTATACTATACAGTGTTGGATTGGCTCATTGTAACTATATAGTGTTGGTTTGGCTCATTATACTATACAGTGTTGGATTGGCTCATTGTAACTATATAGTGTTGGTTTGGCTCATTGTAACTATGCAGTGTTGGAGCAAATTGGAACAAGAATGTGTCCATAGTACTTGGATGCCCCACTCGCACTATCATTTTCTATGTTCAGTGGACCGTGAAGTAGGGGTCAAAACTCTAATTTGGCATAAAAATTAGAAAGATCATATCAAAGGGAACATGTGTACTAAGTTTCAAGTTGATTGGACTTCAACTTCATCAAAAACTACCTTGACCAAAAACTTTAACCTGAAGAGGGTACTATCATTTTCTGTTCAGTGGACCGTGAAACTCTAGTTTGGCAATAAAATTATAAAGATCATATCATAGGGAACATGTGTACAAAGTTTCAAGTTGATTGGACTTAAACTTCATCAAAAACTACCTTGACCAAAAACTTTAACCTGAAGCAGGACAGATGGACGGACGGACGGACGAACAAACAGACGCACGGACCAAAAAACATAATGCCCCTAGGTGGAGCATAAGAAAGATTGGGACAAGAATACTGTGGAGTAGGGGGAATTAAACAAGAGTCCTGATCAATAAAAAAAAAACAAAGCTGTTTCACTACTTATTCATTTAATGCTTGATTTCAATACTGTTTTAACACAATACCTTAAAAGGTGAATGTATTACAAAAAAAATCACAATAATTATTACATCACAACATTAACATTATTTCCATCATTTTAATAATACTATATTACTGAATTTTCCTGAAAAATGGTGAAACTATCTGTACTGTTTTCATAACTGAGATGTTACTATGAGAAGAGAGTTTATTGCTTGTACTTAATTTGGTTATACCATAAGTAACTCAAGGTTTTGATAGATAATGGTCAAGCTCAATATTGTCTTTCTTTATATGTTGGACCAGCAACCCACCATATATTTTAATAGACCATGACAAAATTAGCCCACACCTTCCCCAAGGACTAACAGATATGGTAAATGTTTTAATGTTCCAGAAAAAAATTGATATTAGATAAGCAAAAGCATTCAGAAATTTTCATATACCAAAATACTTTTCAGGAATATTCAGATTAAATCATAACAACCATAAAATAAACAAAAATTATTGCTTTTTTTAAATTATGTGATTATAAAAACTAAGACAGCACTATGTGTCAACCAAAAAAATCTATATAACTAAGAAAGTTAAAAAAATCTACCATAATTATAGTTTTTACAATTAAGAGAAAATTTCACATTTAAGAACTTATAACAGGAAAGTATTCTTTACACACAATAATTTTCCTGTAACTGTAACAAGACATGCACATTTTTATCTGAGAAATATTTTAATATTACAGTGCAAATGTGGTATACATATAATCTGAAGATAAATATAACAAATATATGTGCATAATAATATAAAGAATATTTCCTCCTAATGCCAGTGTACCCATATAATATTGTTTTTTTATGGTAATCATTATAAAGGCTACCTTCAAATTTGAAGACTAATTCTTTTATCAAGGGGTATTTTGTGAAGTGAAAATTATTTTTTATATATAGTTTATATATTTCTGTTGTTCAATGAATTCAATTCATGTATTTTAAGAAACAACAATACACGAATACTTGCATGCAATAATACAATTGCCTAATTTGGTTAACTTGTATTGTTAGGTTACATTCTCATTGCTTTTGACCTCCATATCTTTGGATAAAAGATGTGAGGTATTTTTCAATGAGACAGCGACCCATTAACACAATAAACTGCTTCGCTGAGCGCAGCTGGACACGCCCACAAAGGTCCAACCCTGAACAGTTGGGACAAAAATGGACACAATATTCAAGCTTGATACAGGTCTGAATTTGGATTGTATTAAATATTTAACATATTATAGGTTTCTGAATAAATGTAGTCAAAGAACTTGAAATTGGTTATATGAATTGAATTTATTTTCAATCGAAGATTTCTTGCTGTTGTGCAATACACTGTGCTGTTGCGCAATACTTAGTAAATCTGTTGTCAGACTATAAACAATTAAAGTTCAATTAATTCTCAATGTCATATTAAAAATTTATGAAAATGTAAAGGGAGCTTACAATAAATAGATATAAATAATTCATCAAAGTTTCATGAGAATTTCTGACAGCATTTTTGAGTTATTGTCCAAAAACTGGAAAATCCCCCCTTTTTTAATGAATAAAACCCCATAACTCAGAAATGTAAAATGTAAAATTTATAAAATTCTAAACGGAGCTTACATCAATAGATATAACCAATTCACCAAAGTTTCATAAGAACTGCTTAAAGCATTTTTGATTTTTTTGTCTGAAAACTGGAAAATCCCCCTTTTTTTTATTAATAAAACCCCTTAACTTGGAAATGTAAAATGTAAAATCTAAAATATATAAAAATCAAAAGGGAGCTCATGTCAATAGATATAAACAATTCACCACAATTTCTTGCAAGTTGGTGAAAGCATTCTTGAGTTATTGTCTGAAAACTGGAAAATCCCCCTTTTTTAATGAATAAAACCCCATAACTCGGAAACGTAAAATCTAAAATTTATAAAAAACGAAAGGGAGCTCACGTCAATAGATATAAACAATTCACCAAAGTTTTATGCAAATTGGTTAAAGCGTTTTTGAGTTAATGTCTGACATGTTGACGACGGACGAACGAACAGACGGACGGACGGACAAACAGACGGACAACGGTATACCATAATACGTCCCGTAAACGGTCATATAAAAAATTAAAAGACATCTAGAGGTCAATATACTGTCTTCAATCTTTTTAGTGAGATTGTACAAGGATGTTAATGATAATAACAAATAAAGACTTTACAATTTCACCCTAATTATATATATATACTGAAACAGTATATTAGAAAAATAAGAAGATGTGGTATAATTGCCAATGAGACAACTCTCCACCAGAGACCAAATGACATAGAAGTTTACAACTATAGGTCACTGTACGGCCTTCAACAATGAGCAAAACCCATACTGCATAGTCAGCTATAAAAGGCCCCCAAAATGAATTAGTCTGTCAAATAGAAGGAAGCATTTGTCAAATGGTATATGGTATAAACCATATGACCAATAACTAAACGCTTTTTTAAATATTTGTTTTAATCAGTGAAAACAGGTACAAAACCCTTTTTAAATTCTTCTTTATCAATAATGTACCGGCAGTTTGGAAAACAAAGTATCAACAAAAACCTAGCCATATCTTGTAAATCTATATGGCTTTAAAAGAAGGAAGATTAACATGTTCTACTTACTGGATTCAACAACACTACACATATACAAATCTAATTACTATACCAACAAATAAACAACAATTCATAAGTATAACGTGTGGCATATTTTACATTTTACAGTTTTTTTGGCAAAAATATAAAAGTATTTGTGAGTAATACAAAATATGGAATTCAAAGTGCTAGGGAGTGAATAAAAAACTTTTTGATATCTATTTAAAACCAATTCAAATTTTGTTTTTATTTAAGTGTTGTCAGAATTCTAGTAAATGATATAAGCCAATATTTTCCTTGCCATGTGACATAATATACATCTAAACAACAAGTATTTCCATGCTTTCCTTGTTCATGTAGGAACATATATTCATCTAACTTTCATGTAAATGTTGGTTTTTTTTTAAATTGTGATGCAATTTAGATAAAATTGCCTCTGAGTAGACCTTAAAAAATTAAAAACTAAAATAAAAAAATTTCATTCAAACAAAAATCAAAAGAAAAAACTAAATCTACCCAAAAACACAGATCTATATCTCTAAAAAAAATATCAACTACCTGGACGGAAAACTAGCTGTAAGTTATAAAACAGAACAAAAACAAACTAATCTATATTAGAAAGATCAATCATAAATATCAAATATAGCTTACCAATCATTAACATAAAGATTTATCTGAAGGTCTGAAATTCATCATTGCTTGATGTCCAGTCGCAAATATTTCATGCATATTTAATTTCTTAGATTGAAAAATGCTAAATTTACTTTGTAGTCTGATGTAAAAATAAAAGGACTTTTAGCAGTGTTATGGTAAAATAAAAATTCAAATATTCATAATGTTAAAGAGAAACTTCAAATTTAGTTGATTTCAACAAATTAAAGGATAAAAAAAACAAAAGAGGTAAACATCACTAAAGTGAAATACAACTGCATTATTTGGTCCACGACTAAGTTGTAATTTACATGTCAGTCTTGGAAATAAGATACTCAAATAATCTGAAATTAAAAATAAGAAATAACACTGATATCATTGTATCAGAACAAGTAATTTTCATTTGACAGTTATAACCCATTCTTTTATAATATAACTTTATTTGAAGGAGACAAGGAATCATTGTATCTGAACAAGTCATTTTCATTTGACAGTTATAACCCATTCTTTTATAATATAACTTTTATTTGAAGGAGATGAGGAAGTAATTTTCACCATCAGCCTAAACATTTTATCATGACATATTTTACACTTATTTCATATTTACATATAATGCAATACAATTAACAACATATTTTTTTGTTCAGGTCACAAGAATCTATTTTAACATTCAACACAACAATGTACAATCAACTCTACTTTGAGTAGAAACATCTATATTCACATTAAACAACATTTAAGTAATTTCATAATTTGTCATACATTGTCGTTTCTACATCATTGAGAGCACGACCATATACATTACTGCTAAAACAGAAACACCACACAACCATCTACGTCTATTTTAAAATTTTCTGCTGTCAATCAAGTTCCATAACTCAGAACACACATGAACATTTAAAATAATTAAAAGGGTGTCTACATTCATTAACCCTTCAATGTGAAAAGATTTTCAGTGATTTCGTCAAAACAGATTTGGATAATTATCAGTCTTCCATGCACCCAATTCAATTATTCCGTCCTTAATAAAATCCAATATAATGGATTTCAGATATCAAATGTGGCAACCTGAATGGACAGACAGACAACAATAACAAAATATCATGTCTAATGGATGTAAAAAAAATATGTTGAATGCTAAGGTAATGTTGGAATGTAAGAATAAAAAGTAATACACTAGATATACATCTAGATATTTTTTTTAAATACATGAAAAACAAAACATTTGGTCATAAGATTGACAAAAACAACAATACATATTTGCATATGAGTCTGAAAAAAGAAAGATATGAAAGTACAAACAATATCCAGGGTCATATCAAGCCCAAAATATCATTTCATTTAAAAAATTACAATATTATCAAAATAGTATTTTACACAAAGAAAATTACAAAAAGTATTTTTCGAATAGACAAAGTACCTTATAAAATCTCAGAAATTAAGAAAAACAACCTCCCCACATATTTATTGAGATTAATTTGTATGGTGGTATATGGCTAATATATAAATATTAAAAACTTATTTCCCATCAAAATAAATTTTAGCAAGATTTTGTTACCATAATCATGAAATTGTGAATATTTTTTGTGTTGTTTCAATGTGATGATAAAAACAAACACTATCTTCCAAATTTGACTCCTAAAAGTAAGCCTTATTAAGGCCAAATATGGCCCTCAATTGCCCTTATCTTACCAAAATCAATTTTTCATCTAAAATAGTTATTGTATCTTATTTATGATGCATGTTCTTGATAGATAAATATATAAAATACCAAATGCATCTATTCAGAAAAAGTACCAGCTAAAGTTAAGAATCAAAATTTCACTCAAGCAGAGATTAATATAAAACAATTTAAAAAGGATACCAAAAAAAATATAGCAACATAATCTATAGACCACGATTAAGATACAATCATGTTCAAATGTTGTTGGGCCAAAACAAATATTGTTAGCTTCACATTTATCTTTGTTCGTGTCATGCAGGGAAATAAATCCTCCCCGTTTCATAAATTTGTTTTCAGAATAGGCTTGAGTTCGTGTTGCTTTGGATAAGGCGTATAATAATTTCCCCTAAAAATGAGATAAGGAATATTCAATCCATAACTTAGCATTTTCTGTCAAAGATAACCTCAATATATTTATAAATGGGTCATGTTACGACTAGCAATGTAACAAATTTGCTCAGTGTACTTATTGTAAACAAGTTTATAAAAATCTGGTATTGTATACATAAATATAACTTTTTAAATGCATAATGTAACAAAATTTTTTATTTTCTCTAATACTGACAAAAGGTTGGAAACAATTAAACACATACAATGAATTGTGGTCTAGCAAAACTTAACACATGCATGTATATATACATTAAGGTTATAAAAATAAAATATTCATTCAATTAAATACTAAGATCTGGTTGTCTTATCCTGAAGACCCTAAACTAAAATAATATGTGTGTTACATGTTTTTTTCTTGTGTACTGGTAAATAATTAGCACAGCTGATAGAGGATTCAGAATCTCACAAGTCCATAAATGTTCTAGCTGGAAAAAATGATAAAGTCTGAATATAAAAGATTCATATTTAGTTTTCAAAAATGAGAAACTATTTGTGTTTTTCAAATGAAAAAGTTCTTGAAATGCAAGTGACTTTTGGTTCAAGTACATAAACACATCATCATGAAACCTTAAGATTTTTTTAATATTCCAAACTGATAGGGGCATTATTTGATTAAGAGGTGCTAATTTCCCACTTTGCCAAGGGAGATGTATTGCATACCTCCTGCAATGCAGAAGCATTCATAGTGAACACTTGACCTAAATTTTTTGATGACAAAAAGCACTTTTATCCATACATAAAGGTACTCTGCGGCAGATCCGGGATTTTTGAAAGGTTGCATGTAATTCCAGAATACTTAATAGATAATTTTTTGGGAAAATTTATGTTAAAACATCATACAAATTGTGAAAAACTTCAGATTTTCAATTTCTTTTAGAAATCAAAAGATGCACTCTGCACAATATTCTGGATCTGCCACCGGTACTGATCAAAGTTATCATCCAGACAACACAATAGTCTTTTCCAAATTTATTTGCCAAGTAGGTAAGAAAAATCAGTGGTAAAATGCATGCTAAATCATCTTTAATGTTTCTTAAGGGGGGACATTGTAATTTACAACTTACTAAATACATGCATATTAAAAAGAAAATCCTTCTCTCTCCATGCTCTATTTTTGAATTCTGAAAGGAGGATGAGAATAATACTTTTCATTCTTTAAGGATTGACAGAGAAGCACAACTGTAATAGTTCAAGTCATTCTCTTTTTATACATTACATAATAATAAATTCACAATAAATATGGTCAATAAATAAAATACCTATTAAAGATATAAATATTAAATTTACAAGAAATAATAAAACAAGTAGTATATGTGTATATAATAGTCAGATCTTTTTGTATAAAACAATCAAAGATTTCAATCCTCTAAACATCACTGAACATGATTAACCTAGAAACATTCAATCTTTTTACAGTACAAACATGATAATTTAACCTTTCTGGATTTTGTAAGTAAATGGATAAAACAGGTTGATTGTTTGGGATTACACAGATAACCTTCTGAATAGCCATATAACACCTATGGAATATACGGAGCACCACTTCAGAGTGAATAACCCACTACAACAAGCATGGAAAGTCAAAAATACCAAAAACTAAATGACCTTGTGTACAGTAATTGTCACTTAATGTTAATCAAAGTTGAATAATTTTAATCAAACCAAGTTACAATAAATGGGGAATGTGTCCATGGGACACAGATGATGCCCCCGCTTGCATATCATATGAAATTATAAAGGGACATAACTGAAGAACAGTAAAAGTGATGCTACCCTAATTTGTAATTGATCTGAGTTTTGTGGTAATAAGTATTGTGTATAAGTCTCATAACATTTGGTTGAGGCTAACTTAAGTTAGAGAACGAAAACGAAAAATTCAGCATTTTTTCCATTTGTAAACAGGCATAACTCTAGAACGGTAAAAACAACACCACCAAAATTCAAACTTGATCTGTATTTTGTGGTAATTAGCATTGTGTATAAGTTTCATAACATTTGGTTGAGGCAAACTAAAGTTAGAGAACGGAAACGAAAAATTCAGCAATTTTTATGTTTATCAAGGGGCATAACTCAAGAAAGGTACAAGTGATGCCACCCAATTTCATACTTGATCTGTATTATGTGGTAATAAGCATTGTATATATATATGTCTCATAAAATTTGGTTGAGGCCAACTAAAGTTAGAAAACGGAAATGAAAAATTCAGCAATTTTTCCATTTGTAAAGGGGCATAACTCTATTTATTATGACCCCTCCGCTACGGCGGGGGCATAATAAATAACTGCAGAACTTATTGTAATGATTGCTTTATCCCTGTCGATATTAAAACATGCAAGTTTTGGTATAAATGCATATGAAACACAGAAATTAATCAACACAAGTTGAATATACATACATGTAGTAGACATAAATTCTTAAATGCTGGATAAGTTCCTTAACTAAACAAAAAGAACGTAGTTAAGGATAATTTTCATGAAAAAAGTTCTTGTTATCATGCAAATAGGTAGAAATGCCTTATTCAGGTCGAAGTTCCGTTCATAATGCATGGAAATCACACTTTACTTTTAAGTTCTTCCATGCATGTACTGTCTTTATCACCACAAAACAAGTGTGATAACAGTGTTAACTAGTGATACATGTACATAGAAAGTTTCTCTGAAATAAATCTGAGAGAGGGATGAGAATTTTTAACTAATGTTTTATATTCTCTGTTACACCAGTGACAGAACTGTGAAATATAAACATTTGACATGCATGTCATAAAGTTGTATTTTAGATAAAACAATGACTAGATCATGAGGTTTAAATGCAGAAACATTAGAAGTTCAAGTCATGAATACTTTAATTACCATCTCTTCTTTTTGTTTTATGTATTTTATTCAATTTATGCTATAGTAAAATTTACAAGACGATCATTGTTGCTTGTGTGCAGTTTATCACTCTGAAACAGGGTGATACATGCATGTAGCTGGTGATTTGAAATGATAATTAACACTCTGATTTAACTTACAATCCTGTCTTAGATACCAGAGAAATATATATGTAGAAAGTGATATTCCAGAGTGCATTACTAAAACAATGAATCACCAGGATCTACAGAGAAAAATCATCAACATCAGTAATTAGTTCTTATTGCTAGTGTGTATTGTAAAATAAACAAAAATGCCCTATACACAAAAACAAAGATAAATGCTTTAGGTATAATAAAATGCAATGTGTAAAATTACAATATAACATTTTTTTTATCTTATCCAAATATATAAATCATGATATTTAGCAGTTACATGCACATGTACATGATGTAAATTTATGTATCTTACTCTAAAAAAAATGTAACTATGACAATGTCTACTATTTGTGCATTTAAGCTTTCTTTAGAAATAAAAATTAACAATTATGACTTTCTTCAGAAATTTCATTTTGATTCAGGTTTTTGAGATAGATTGAAAAGTATCTAGTTTTTAACCTCACAAAACATATTACAATATATACAATGTAATGATTATTCAAGAAAGAAACCAGAATTTTTTTTTATCTTTGAATAATCATGTACATGTAGTGTACACAGGAGATCTATGTATGAATAAGTACAGGGCAAATATACAACTACACTTTGTTAACCCTCTCCCTAACTATACATACCCACAATAAAAGCTTCCTTCTAAAAAAATTGTTTGTTTTTTCTTTTTTCTGATTTTTAGATTTTCATTGTCAAGTATTGTTATACATTGCAACTTTTTATTTATTTCTGTCACTTTACTAAAAAAAAATCCCTATCTAAAGAACCTAAAATTTTCAAGAAAAGAAAAAATTTACTTTTTATGTGGCTAAGATCAATTATTTTGACTAGAAACTGAAAATGCAAAATTATTCATCATGTTTATGTGGTTAAGGAATGCCAAGTTTGGCAAAATTCCATTTGGAATGTCTCCAGAGTTTTCCTGCTTCATGGATTTTGCTCTGAAACTCTCCTCTTGGTCTAGTGGCCTTTTTAGTGACGACTCTTTTTTACCATCTGCCATGTCTGCAGAGGAGGATGAAGCAGAGAAGTTTGGTTTTGATTGAGAGCCTTCTGTCTTCTTATCCTCCTTTCCTGTTAAATCTAAACTGGCATTCTGTCCATTGTTCATAAGAATATTTGGTGGAATGAATCCACTCATACCAAGTGGCATGCCCATTGGTAACAGTAATGCTGGATTAAATAGATTCAAGTTCATGCTTCCAAGAAGAGCTTGATTTGGCAGTAAGTTATTTATGCCAAGATTCATTGAACCATTTGTTATTTGATTCTGTTCTGCTTCACTTGTACTTGGATTTGACGATTCGTTTGGAAGGAATGATTGCAGAAATGGATTATGGGATCTCATATGAGTCTGCAAGTTAGCTAATGTTGTATATGCTTTCCCGCAGAATGAACACTCATGGTCCCTGCGACCAGAATGAGTTTTCATATGGGTGTGCAGATTTGCTTTCGTGCTGAATGGCTTGTGACATAAACTGCATGTAAATGGTCGTTCTTGTGTATGGGTTCTCATGTGAACTTGCCTATTACCAATAGTAGAAAAATATTTGTCACAGAAATGACATTTGTAGGGTCGTTCTCCAGTATGTGTGCGAACATGGACATCAAGATTTCCCTTTGTTGTAAACCGTTTGTTGCAGAATTGACAATAATATGGCTTTTCACCAGTATGTGTTCGAACATGCGTCTTCAAATTACCAGGCGTGGAAAATCTTTTACTGCATAAATTACATGTAAGACAGGCCTCGCCAAATTGATCGTATGCATCATATTGATCTCGTGGTACTTCTCCAGTTTCAAGTACATATTGATATTCCGGGTCCATGTTAAATCTATTTGGGATAGCATCATTTGAATCAGCAGTTTCAGATATTGATGAAAAATTCCGAACTTCATTTTTCTCTTCTGTCGGTTCACCATCTGTAAAAGTTTCATTTTTAACACCATTTAATGAAACAAATTTTTCATTTTGTCCTTCAGAACTTTCTTCGTTTGATAGCCTCTCAATCTCCCCGTTTTGCAGTTCTATGGACTCATTTTTACAGCCATTCTGGAATGCTGATAAGCTGTTTGGCAATTCAACAGGGAAATCATAATCACTGTCATCATCTACAATATCACTGATGAAATCAAAGCTATCCTCATCAGGTATATCATCCTGTGTTATTTTCCTAGGTTTAGTTTTCTTTTTCATCACAGTTTTCTACAATAAAAATATGAATATAAAACATTCAAGTTTTTGAGTCTTCAATATTTGGACATCAATTAAGATTCTCTGAACGAGAATGGTTACAACAACAGTATCAAAGGAGAGGATTTAAAAAAAAACAAGCATTGGAGAGTATGCAATACATGTAGGTTCCCTACTTACAGGTGGTCTGGTGTTAATGTACAAAAAATGGGACTCTGTCATGTCTGTTAAGACACAGTATTTGCTTGCCTGTGTGACAAAACACATTTTAAACCCTGACCTCCTGAGTCCTGATACAAGAATTATTGAGCAAGCAAACTAAACACAGACATGTTTTTGTTAGACCAAGCTGTGTGTTTACAAAGAACTGATTTTAAGAAATAATTTAACATCATGCTACATGCATCTCTTATGATCAGGCCAAATAAGAACATATGTGTGTTTATCATTCCATCAATTTTCAAAATAGGGCATGTAGGTAGGTACATGTATCTTTTTTTGTGGAATCTGGCTGTGGACGGGATCCCCAAACCTTTATATTTGGTTGTACTTCAAAGGAATTCCATCTTCTTTTTTTTGTTTTTTGTTGATATGTTTTTTTCCACCATCAATTTGAAACATTTTTGTATGTTTCTCACTTTGTGGTCATATATTTGATGCATAAAATGGCATTGTTTTGCTCCATGGTGGCATATATGGAAGTGAAATTCTCCAAACATGACTGATAACAAGCATGTGACAAGTTGGCAGGGCTTCCACTACTTTAGAATCATATGAAACTGATGGGGAGAAGTGAAGTGACTTCAAAGAGATGGTCTTTTGATCGCAGGGTACAATGTTTGGTTTTCATTACATTTCTTTTTTTACATTTCTATCCTACTGATCTGTTTCTATTTGGCACAAAAATGTACATTTGTATCCTATAAATACAATAATGTTTAATTCGATGACTTATATTAGTCAGCCACTTCTATTCAAATATCTGATGTGGCGTAAAGCAATCACCAATCAATCAATCTATTCAAATATCTGGCATAACATACTACACATCAATAATAGGTGACGCGTCCACAATAGGTTATGGTGATCCCTGAATTACACATCCTGCACAGCCAAACAGATGCCTCACTTTAACAAGGTTTTTACTTCTGTTTGAATGAAGAATAAGGTGACCATGATTCTATACCCAAGTCACCCTCACGTTATTTAATTTACTCTAGAAATACAACTACAAATTTGAATTATGACAGAATTTTCATGGTAGTCAACTCACTGTAATTCAATTGCAGAAATTGTGTTCGTCCGATGAGTCAGTGCATTCCATTGACAAAAAATTAATTGAACCGAAATATTGGTACAAACGAAATTTGTGTTTTGTGGTCAAGCACTAAAATATTTAGGCCGGTCGTCCCATATCGATATCATACATTATTGAATCAAAAATGGTAATTTTGAATGACAAAAGTATGAAATATCCACATAAAAGTTATGAAAAGTTTACATATAAACGTACTTAAGTAAAATTATAAGATTTCAATCTGTTAACGATTCTTTGTTGTAGTTTAATTATGCAGGAAATGACATTTTTATAGTCTTCAAGACAATGACGGTTCAGCAAGAGTATTTTTTCCGAAGATTTTTCTTCGTTTGCCTTTGAACAAAATCTTGATTCGCATGGCGACCTTAATTTAATTTTTGGGTCTCGAGTGTCATTGAGTCGTTATTGATTGATTGATTTTGGTTTGCTTTACGCCGTATCAGCGCAAAAAGGCTATATCGCGGTGAATATTAGATCGTTAAAAAAAACAACAAAAAACAACCCGCGTTACTCGGATTGTCAATTAAAACACATTAAGATAACTTAAGAATTAAATTAACCGGAATAATTCAGTCCCTCCCCGTGATCGACTCTCCCACTCGCTAATGTAGCCATCGTAGAGCAGTGGAATATAACGACTGAATTATTCGGGTTAGAATTAAATACAAAAAATAACATATTTTCCTCGTTTACAACACAATGAGTCCTTTCACCTAGAAAATGACAAAATGATGAAAAATTCTGAAATACTTCTACAGAAACCAAATTGCACCCATTCTGTTTGCAAAAAAAAACCCGGCAGAAACCTTCCAAGTTTTCTTAGCCTATAAATAATTTGTACTTTTATAATTTGCCATTATGCACGTGTTTCAACATAGGTAAATATATATTTAAATATGCACAAAATGGTCACATTATATATCAACAGTTGATGTATCCTGAGAAAAAAAGTAAAATTTACCGTCGGAAAAAAACGTTGCATGACGTCCGCACAAAGTGAACTTTAAAAAACTTTAGCAATTAAAATATGTTCGATGCATTTATTCTAGTAAGCATGGACTAATGTCTGATCAGTGGAACCCCTTCTTTTTGACGATCAATGCATTTAAATGGGGGTATATGGTTGGACCCCCCCCCTTTATCCTGGGTTGGAACCCCCTTTTAAAAATGACTGGATCCGCCCCTGCTGATTGTTCCAAACATGTGGAGAAATATTCGATTTTTAATAGTATTTTTTTAACCAGTCCGTCCTCATATGGTTCATTTTTGATACAAGAAAATACACACACCGTTTTGGACACACACATATCATGAAAAAGACGCCTGCTCATAATATGGTTTTAAAAGTTAGCGTGTACATTTGGACTGAGGCTAACTTTTTCGACCTTGCTTCTATCAATACCCGGTGACATTTTTGTCTAGCAGCCAGAAAAGGCATTTTTTCACACCGTCCCTTTTTAATATACAAACCTCTGAAACAAATATAAATATGTGTTGTAGTAGTCTTAGACTCAAGACTTCACATCAATAGTATAATTATAATTATCAATTTGTCTAGTAACAACAAAAACAACTCAAGCCTGGAAATGCTATGCTTATATTGGTTAAATTTTTAACAATATTACCAAAGATAGCTAGGTGCGAAATACCACTAAAATTTAAACTTCTTAGTGCAAGTGGAATCATGCTTTCACAATAAATCAGAATTTAAGAGAGTGTACAAAAGGTCAATACAAGCCCGCTATTTAAATGTGTCTTGTATGTTTTTGTAGCACAAGGCAATTCTGCAAAGTGAGAAAAAAGAACAATACCCTTCCAGCTTGATCTTGGTGGTCTTTGAGCTGTATGTCTATTGGACCAGAATCTGACGTACAAATCGAGTCTTCATATTTCATTTCTGCCGAATCATCTATTTTCAACTCATCGTCTGATACTTCAAAGTCTGAGTTTGGAACCCTCAAACCCATGATGATATCATCCACCGTACTTCTACATACGTTATACTCATTTGAATGATGAAACATGTAACGGATTAACGCCGACATGCTGAAATATATCTCTCCATGTATTCTGATAGAATCTGAATGTTTGCCGAGTTCTTTCTTAACGTTAAATTTTCTAGGATATTCTTTGCCACATTCTGGATCATGCTTACTTTTCAAAAATTCATGGAAATGCTTTAAACTGATCATAACTGTTTTATGATGAAAAGAACACTTTAATTTTGAAACAGTTGGTATATTGTAGAAATCTCCAACGCACTTTTCCATCTTCTAAAAACAAAATAACATAATTTATTAATAAATAAAACCTATAAAGCTATTCAGAATATCCTTATACCTGTTATCCAAAACGAGAGGCGAAAAATACCAAAGGGATATTTAAACTCATAAATCAAAAACAAACTGCCCATGCCATGGCTAAAAGTTAGTATTTGTCCTTCTAAATGTAACGACTATTAGTGGTGTAGTTATTGTGCAGAGTTTAGCTAGTGTTTGTGTATCTTGTGGCACTTTTATCCCTTAAAAACAAAAACAAAAAACACAAACATAAAAAATAAAACAAAAAAGTAACACATCACAGTCATACAAAACAAAAAGACAAAAATTCCAGCAAATATAATCTTGATATGATTTATTAATTGTTGGCGTTTAATGCAATCTCAGCACTCTTGGCTATATCGTGGCGGCCAGTTTTTATCGTGCTTTCTTGGTGTCTGTAGATGACCATCGGCCTTCGGCAGGAAAACAAGCAATCCTAGTAAATTCAGATCGAACACACCTGCCACGTGCGTAGTTCGAATTCACAACATCAGTGTTGATAGGCTAGTGATACTGTAGAAGAACAACTTACACCATTCCGCTCCCCCTTGCTTAAATAAATGCACAAAATAGTATGAAATACACAACAAATGCTGCAACTTTAGTCTTGACAATTCAATATGTGATTATCCAACTTGTTTCACGATCTATGCTAAATTCTGAACTATAAAACAAAGAACTCTAAAACTCGTAATTTTTTGTTTTTAGCCCCCCCTTCTCGTCGTTTACCCCACTTCTCCTTTCATACAGTTTACAGGGAACTGAAGATTTTTTTTTGCAGCGCCATATTAAATTACGAGTCACATTATGCATACAGAAACAAAAGCTCAGCATACAACAAATCTCATTAATAAAATTATTCCCCGGTGTAATAACTCATCAAAGATACCAGGCTTACATCTTACAAAGTCTATCCAAATTTATTTTTGCAAAGAATTCCGATAAAGTCGGTGCTAGGGGCCGTCTTAAACTTGCAGTGAGGTGAGAGTTTTTTGGGTTTTTTTTTTGGCTCCGTGTTGAAGGCCACACTGTGACTTTGAGATGAAGAACAGCAATAAAAGCGCTGTTCCTTTGCTTGTTGTGTGTTTTTTTAATGTACTGATTTTGTGTCATGGATGGATACCCCATATCCTTTGTTTTTCTATTATAATTTGGTACGCCAAACGCGTGGTTAGTCGACACAAAACTCATCGTTGGCGATCGAATCGCAACAGTTAGCATAGGCGGATCAAGGGGGGGGGGGGGGGGGGGGGGGGCTGTGGGGGCCCGGGCCCCCCTTTCGTGGGAAAAATTTGGTTGATTATATAGGGAATCACTGAAGCACGACTGGAGTAGCGCCCCCCCCCCCCTTTCCCCCTTATGAAAAGTTCTGGATCCGCCACTGGTTAGACATGTTAGAAGGCCAAATCGAATGCAAAGTTGAAGAGCATTTAATTATGCTAAAGACCGCTAAGGCAATCTATGCCTGTGGGTAGGCAAACCTTAATGTTACTAACAATTAAACATTTTATAAACAGTAAATTTACAGAAAAAGAACAAACCAATGATATTTATGTCTACTGGGCTGGTGATACCCTCGGGGATGAAACGTCCACCAGCCATGGCATCGACTCAGTGGTTGCAATAATTCATTAAAGATATTATTTGGTATGCACGACGCGCGTTTCGTCTACATAAGACTCACCAACGGCGCTCGAATCAAAACAGTTAGAAAGTAATATGGTATATACACTGTAGAGTCCCGTGCAAGAAATTATACAAACTGTAGATAAATTACACATGATAGTAAGAGTTCCAATGTTTCGAACAAATGCAATGTTAAAGGAATCAACTATCGTAAAGAATCAAAAGAATTACTCACAGTACAGTTTCTTTAGAAGATCGCCACTTATCTTTGTGTGTATCAGACGGCCGACATATTGTTATTACTAGAATTTAGCAATCTATTTTTAACATCACACAAAGCTCTCCTGTGTATTGTAACTTGAGAAGATTAGGTTATGATCCATTAATTTTCGATGACAACAAAGTATTGTTTACATAACTAGTCATGTTAATGTATATCTTTACTACAAACTAGTACACGACGTTAACGGAGATCAAAAGGAATTTTAAACATAGTTTTAATAAAACATGAACATTCGTAAAGGTAAAACATTTCTAGATTTTGTTTTTGTATTTTATCTACCGTATTAATTCATATGATATTATTAAAGGTAAAATACGCACTAATTTAGATATTATAAATTAAATTGGGACTGGAAAATTTGTTAAGTGATAAAAACAAAATAACAACTTGTAAAATTACGGCAGTTTGAAATAATAGAAAAAACGAGAATTTCTGGATATTTAAAAGTGTTCTTTTTTATCCTTTCTCCCTCTTATTTCATGAACATTAGTTAACGTCCCAAGTCCGGTATAAAAGTATAATATCTTATCATTGATGTACCTCTATCATTGTTATTTTTTGTTCCCGTTTCCCCTTAATATATAGCAGTTGAGGTTGATGCACTCGAAAATTCCACAAATTTCAAGCAGAATGGAAATTGTTGACTATGATAACTATCGTGTATACACGTGTCTTTTTTAGTCTATTCATTTGTTTGAAGACGTTCGCAGCCATTTGTCACACACTTGTTGAATTATTGCAGTTTTTATCTGTCCTATACAAATAATTAAAATATTTCAAAATAAAAAAAATACATTTAGACTTTTAGTGCAAATAGTACATGCAGTTGTATATGAGAGTTGCAAATGCCAATACAGCTGCATACCATATATCATTGACTTAACATTCGATGTTCATCTTTTTTAAAAAAAACTGATCTAATCACAGCCTTTAACATATAAATGATGCAAAACATTCAAAGTCCATGAACCATGACATGATGGGGGAACAAAACAATCTCCATGGAAATGAGATGTGCCAATGCTAATACATCTGCATACCAAATACCATTGACCTACCACTAATAGTTCCCCTTAAACTGACATAATCACAAACTGATACATGTAAACTATGCAAATATTTCAAAGTCAATAGACCATGACTGAAGGGGCGGGGCAAAATAATCTTCGTGGAAATGAGATGTGCCAATGCTTATACAGCTGCATACCAAATATCATTGACCTATCCCTAATGGTTCCCCTTAAACTGACCTAATCACAAACTGATACATGTAAACTAAGCAAAAGTTTCTGAGTCAATATACCATGACTGAGGGGACGGGGCCAATTAGTCTCTACGGAAATGAGATGTGTAAATGCTAATACAACTGCATACCTATAATATCATTAACCTTTAACGAGTGGTTCCCCATAAACTTGACCTAATCACAAACTAATACATTATTGACGCCGCCGCCGCTGACTCCTGCAACAACACGCTTAAGTCTCGCTTTTACGACTTCGTCGACTCGAGACAAAAACTGTGAGTAGAGCAACATTTTCAGATAAAGTGACATTTTTTTGCTTGTTTCTTCTTATGATATTAAGGATTATGAATAAAAAGAGATGTGAGGTTATACACATACGAGACAGCTTACAAACGAGAGAAAAAAAAACAAAAAAAAAAAATTATGAGGTCAACCAACGGTCTTCAGCAATAGACAAGGCATAGGGTTATATAATATAGTAACTGTTAATCGATCCGAGTATATAAAAGATGCACGTGTGTGAATTTAATAGTTTATAAATTAAAGATCTTCCATCGATACGAAATCTCCTTAATGATGAAAAACTTATAAACCAAACGAAAAAACAAAACAACATTTAGATATAACAAAAGATAACCCCTTACTTGTACAGGCACACGTGGACATGTGGCGGAATTAAAGTATTTTTTTTTATCTCAGTTCTTCTCACTTTTCATAATTCCAACAGTGGAATAAAAAAGTTTGAATAACAACGTACAAGACAGTCAGCATTTGACGAATACTTTAAAACATGTAACTTTACAATTCTGATATAAAAGATACAAAACAAATGTTAAGTCAAAACAATAATAAAGAAATTAAAGAATGCTCGAAGTTACTGAAAGCAAGTTCAAAACTCTTAACCTGCTGATATAAGTTATATCAAGCCATTCTTTACTTTTATATTAGCTGTTGTACTGTTACAGTAAATTTGTATAATTAGGGATTTTTAGAAATTATGCATAATCACGTAAAAAAATGTCAGGGATTATACACAACAACTGGAAAGAAGAGACAATGAGTAAAGATTAAATAATGTATTCTATAAAATCATATTTAAAAAATCTTTATAATATAAGCATAAGTATTAAAATCTTAACTACGATATTCGAATATAAATTGGAAACGCCACCTACAGGGAAAAGAACGGAAGTCAGAAAAATATCAGTGAAAAAAAATCGAACTTTTAGTCAATTGTAACCATAAACAGAGTGGCAAATTTACTATTTTCACCATTTAATACCATCTAATACTACAATTTCAAGATGGGATGTGATCTGAATCAGTGGAGAATGAGAATTGGTTCTTTCTATCAACCAGTGTGTAAAAACATTTTCAAATATCCCGCCATGTTGTCAAACCCAAGTCAACCTACAAAGCTAAAACAACTATTGAGATTAACTTTTTGTATTAGTATAATTCTACTACTAAGCGGAGATGTTGAATTAAACCCTGGTCCTCCCCCAACAACAGATGTAAGACCGAATACACGATTATTATCACAATCGAAACTTTCATGGGATAAGGGAGACAATTCAAGCGACTCACTTAGTCGAACTCTTCAGGAAATAAGGTCAGAAATGTGTACTATATCAACAAATGTTATCGCAATGAAAACAGAGATGACAAGTGTAAAAGAGAACATAGAGCTATTGAATGATAAAATTGACAGTAAGATAGACATGCTACAAACAGAAAACAACAAGCTTAAAACACGGGTAACGACTCTAGAAAACCAGGTTGAAAAATTTGAGGCAGTTTCAAGGAAAAATAACTTGTTATTTATGGGTGTCGATGATAAAGCATATAATGAAAGCAGAGAACAAGAAAATGAGTCGGATAACCCAGGTGCTAGCAATGGTTCTAGGAGGGAGACATGGGTAGAGTGTGAGTCAAAGATCAGGGGTTTCTTGGTACATGTTCTGGACCTGGGTAAAGAATTTGCTGACAACGTTCAAATCGAGCATGTTAGTCGTGTCAGGGGCACAGATAGCAAGCGGCCTGTTATAGTAAAATTTTTAAGCATGAGGGACAGGAATACTATACTGAAAAAAGCGAAGGAGGTACTAAAACAGGATAAAACATATAGGATAGCTGAAGATTTCACACCAAATGTAAGGACTGTGCGACAAAAATTAAGCCCGTTTCTTCTGGCTGCAAGGGAAAATGGTAGTAAGGTATCAATGCGTCAGGACAAACTTTTGATAGACAGTAAACTGTTTACTTTTAACTTTATAACAGAAGATATAGAAGAAGTTCCTAGCAAATAGGGATGCGGTCAAGGTCCACGGTACTGTACAAATAAAACTGATTTTAATCTTAACAGTGACTCTTCAGATATTCTATTAAAAATTGTTTCATGGAACATAGAAAGTTTAAAAACAAAATTAAATAGAGACAGAAAATCCATTGATATGATTGTTGAAAAACACAATATAATTAGCTTCCAAGAAACATTTCAAAAAGTAGAAGGTGAATTTGTAAATATGTTCTGTGATTTTGACTATTATGAAAGTATTCGCTCAAGTGACAATTCTGTTTTCAACAAAGCATCAGGTGGAGTTTTAGTGTTAGTTAGAAAAAATATTATAAAAATATTTAAAGTGTCACAAATCTTAAAGCATTACAAGGATATGGTTTTCCTTAAATTTAACTGTGAACACAAAATAATAATAATGGTATTTATTTATATACCACCTGAGAACTCAATTTTTTACAGTGACAAGAATACAAATAATGGTATAGATATCCTAAATGAAGCTCTTTTTGAAGTAGAATCAATGTATGATGAATGTGAAATATTTTTGGCTGGAGACTTTAATTCCAGGACCGCTGAACTAAACGATTTTGTTACAGAAGATAAAGCGAACTATATTCCTGGTCTTCAATACATTACAAACAATGACCATGATTCAAAACCATATATATCTCAGTGTAAGCGTACAAATAAAGACAAAACTACAAACAATTTTGGGCGTTTATTATTACAATTGTGTTGTACAAAGGATTTGTGTATAATTAATGGTCGTAAACATGGTGACAAAGAGGGGCAATTTACATATATGTGTTCAAGTGGGGCTAGTGTAATTGACTATGTAATTACTAGCTACAATTTATTCAGATGGATATCTCATTTTAGCGTACTTCCTGTTGATTTGTCAAAACATTTACCAATTTCATGTTGCTTAAAGATTCCTGTTACAAGTCGTGCTGAAAAGGAAAAAGATGTGTATGTATGTAAAGAGAACCATATACGGTATAAATGGAACTGTAACAAATCTCAGTTGTGCAAGGATCTCATAGATGAACCGTCTTCGTTAGAATATTTAATCAACACTATAGATTTGATAGATGTTAGTGTAGATGAAGCTACCAATGTGTTTATTTTTCACTTGCAAAATATTTGTAATGAAGCTGGTTTATTACAAAATAACAAACAAAGTAAAAATGTTTATAAGCATCAGGAATGGTTTGATTCTGAATGTGTTAATATGAAAAACATTAAATGTAAACTATTAAATGATTTCCGAGCAACAAGTGACAGTATCATACTACATGAATATGTATCAACAAAGCAAACTTTTCATAAGTTGTGTGATAATAAGCAAAAGCAATACAAAGAAGAAAAGAGAACTGAACTATGTAATGTTGCTAAAAGTGGAGATAGTTGCAAATTTTGGAAATTGATAAAATCAGTTATAACTAAATCTAGTATTTCTAGGTCAAATATTTCTAGTGATGAATGGAAAAACTATTTTTCTAACCTTTTGAACCCTGATGTAATATTAGATAAAGAGGAGGACTTTTCTGAATTTGTAGACAATTTTGTAAAATCTCACAATACTGATTGTGGTATATGTATTGCTCATGAAGAGGAAAATTTTTCTTATTTAGACAGTGATATTACTATTGAAGAAATTTTAAGTGAAATTAAAAAGCTTAAAAATAACAAATCACCAGGTGAAGATGGTGTACCAGGTGAAGTGTATAAGTGTTTATCAACACAACTATTGCCAGTATTATTAAAATTATTTAATAAAATTTTGCATACAGGTGTTTTTCCAGAAAGTTGGACTACAGCAATAATTATTACATTGTTTAAAAAAGGCGATAGAAATGAATGTGGTAACTATCGTGGTATTTCACTTTTATCTGTAATGAGTAAAATTTTTATGGGTGTAATAAGTAATAGATTAAAACTATGGTCAGATTTAAATGAGCATATAATAGAAGAGCAAGCAGGTTTTCGTAGTGGTTACTCTACTGTAGACAATATTTTTATATTGTGTAGTATTATAATGAAATATTTATCAAAGAAAAAAGGTGTTTTGTATTGTGCATTTATTGATTTTTCAAAAGCCTTTGACAGTATTAATCGTTCTAAGCTATTTTATTTATTGTTGTGTAAAAATTTACATGGTAAAATGATAAAGCTATTACAAAATATTTATGGTAATGTTAAAGCTAAAGTTAAAACAGCAGATGGACTATCTGATACCTTTACATGTAATTTTGGTGTAAGACAAGGTTGTACCTTAAGTCCATGGTTGTTTGCTATGTACATAAATGAATTGGCAACAGAAATGGAACATTGTGGTGGAAATGGCATTTTTATTCATGAGGACTTTCATAACATTATGCTGCTGCTGTTTGCAGATGATCTTGCGCTTATAGCCGATACTCCGATTGATCTTCAGAGACGTTTAAATTGCTTAGAAAAATATTGTGATAAGTGGAATATGACTGTGAATATGGACAAATCTAATATTGTTGTATTTAAAAATGGTGGAAAATTATCTTCTAATGAGAAATGGTATTTTAAAGGAGAACTTTTGAAAGTGGTCAGCTACTATAAATATTTGGGAGTTTATTTTTCCAACAGACTTAAATGGACTTATTGCTGCAAAACATTAAGTATGCAATGTGATAAAGCCCTAAATATGATAAAACATTGTATGTGTAAACTTGGAACTAGAGACATAAGTCTTGGATTTAAATTATTTGACTCCATGGTAGATCCAATACTTTATTATGGTGCGGAAATATGGGGTACAGATAAAGTGAAAGACATTGAAACTGTTCAAAATAAATTTTGTAAATGGCTACTTGGAATGGGTAAAAAAACTAATCATCACATAGCAAGAGGTGAATGTGGTCGTTATGAACTCTACGTAAACTATATGTGCAAGCCTATTAAATATTTTCTAAGTCTACAAAACCTTGATGATAGCAGACTACCAAAACAATGCTACCGTATGATGTTCAAAATGAATGAAAATGGACAAATAAACTGGTGTACGAAAATTCAAAAACTATTATTTTCATATGGATTTGGATATGTATGGGAAAACCAAAGTGTTGGAGATATAAAACTGTTTATGTTGTTATTTAAACAAAGAGTAAAAGATGTGAACTTACAAACTTGGTCAGATTATATTGGTAATTCTTCCAAATGTTCTTTTTATTCGAAAATTAAAGATGTTATTATTATTAATGAAAATATACAAAAGCTGTCATTTAAGCTCAAACATGAAATTTTTTCCATTATATGTTCTAATCATAGCCTTGCTATAGAACAAGGTAGACATGAAAATCAACCTAGGGAAAATAGATTATGTAGAATTTGTAATACAAATGAAATTGAAGATGAATACCACTTTATACTTGTTTGTCCGATTTTGTGTGATATAAGGAGAAATTTTTTACCCATATGGTGTCATAATAATCCTAACAAAGAAAAACTGATTAATCTGTTTAAAACTGATGATTTTTGTATTTTAAAAAATCTGGCAATATATATTATGAAAGCTAAAGTATTTCGAGATGAAGTTTTGACATTTTGAATGTATAGTAAAATATAAGTGGAAATGAACACTACTGATGACTGATTTATAAATATGATGATATGTGAATATGTAATGTGATTATTGTTTATTGTGTAATATGTAACTGTAGATGGCAAAATTATAAATTGTGTAATTTAATATTTGTACTGTGGGCTGGAGGCCTTTTTTGTACAATAAACTTGATTTGATTTGATTTTGATTTGATTTGAATATAAATTGCATTGTAAATTTGGATGACATCTATACTTGAAAATTTGCTCTGCCTTTGGTTTTTGATTTTTTGTTTTGCAACAACATCCACTTAAAAAATCTTGTCCTTCATATATTGAATCTGATTTTACCGCACGTTGAAGAGAAATAAAGTGTTCATTAGAAATATCTGAAGGTGCCAAAAAAGTAGATCAGCCACCTCAAATTGATTCCTTGTATAGAATCTGATCATAATTTCATGTTTCGTAACCAGGCATTATCCTTTCATAAACGATGGCCATTATTTTTGGGGTCTCCCTTTCCGCGATCACTGACATGCTGAATCGGTATGCAAACATTCCAGCCAACTCCAAAATTGTGTTCAATCTGTCAAGCATGCGTTCTGTCTGTTTTTCTGTACGTTAAATTATGTTAGTTTGCTAACCTTGTTCATTTGAACATAGAAAACATTGAAAAAAAATGTCAAATAACCTCCATCGCTTATGTCTTACATGCACAGTGTATTTACATTCAGAACATGAATGTGCATTTGACATTGTCCTTGGCAAATAACATAATACTTGGCATACATTAGACCGTTGGTTTTTCCGTTTGAATGGTTTTACACTAGTAATTTTTTGGGGCCCTTTATAGCTTGCTGTTCGGTGTGAGCCAATGCTCCGTGTTGAAGGCCGTACCTTGACCTATAATGGTTTACTTTTATAAATTGTAACTTGGATGGAGAGTTGTCTCATTGGCACTCATACCACATCTTCCTATATCTATGCACAGCTATCACTATCATTGAGAATTTTGGTATTATCAATTCCAATTTTAAATACTTTTTTGTTTATGAGTTAATGTGGCTTTAACTTTGATAAATGAACAGGGAATGAAAAATGTCCACTTCAGCCATAAAGGGCTAAGATTGTAGTTCCTTTCAATATAATACTTCCATGGTTTTTCAAATGTCAGCTTCCCATTCCTGACTATATATATATATATATATATATATATAGAACCATACCATCTGTCCAACCTTATATCGTTTAGGTAACATACATTGTGTATAGTTGATACGATATACCAGAGCTATTTCTCAGCAAAGGTTATAAGGAAATATAACTACTAAATCGTCAAACCCCAATTAAAACATCCGCCAGTCAAATGTATATTTTGTTCCAAGCATTATATTTTAATATACGTGTCGCAATAGTCATTTCATTGAGAGTCGAAATTAATTAAGATGAAAGCACTTTAGGAATTTGATATTAACAGTTTCATGGTTCCATAGTTTGTTAAGGAAAACACAGTCGCAAAGACTGCAGCATAATTTACAAAATATACAATTACACAATTCATTATATAGGCAATATATAAGTCCCCCCCTCGAAGAGTTTGGCTTTTAAGATTCGGTTGCAGTTCTGATTTAGACATTAAACAAACTCTACAAAAAAGACTCTTAAACATACAACCTGCAACAAAAAAAGCATCATCTCATATTTACTTTAGTGCAGTAATAGAATTATGGCCTTTATCAAAAGTTAACATCTAAATTATTAAATCTTGAAAAGGTTATTTCCCTCTATATAACCTTTTTCTCAATTAAATAATTTGGATAATTTCTTAAAGTCTTTTGATGAAGACCATAATTGTATATAAGTAAAAAAAAATTGTGTGGTTAACTTATATTGATCTGCCGTACAAGTGTGAAAATCTTTTAAGTTCTACATAATATTATATATTATTTTAGGTGGACGACACCATCCTATACAAAAAATTACAGAACTTAAGATGTAATTTTTCAGCATTATAATTTTTTTTCAAAACACCAACATAGTATGACAACAGATGCTTTCAATAATATGTGAAAAAGACGTGAAAAATTTAGGGGATGAGGGATTTTTGAAAAATAGTCGAAAGTCTACTGGACAATAAAAATGGATTCTTACGACAGACATGTTTTATTTGTTATAAACAATGTTGCCAATTCTATTGTGCAAATCATATATTATTAATATCTTAAATTAACCACAGTATTAAGATATGTCACTGTATGTATACTATATATATATATTTTTTTTAATCCAATTATTGCGAAATCTTCGACTTGTTAATATATTTTGATAAAACTTCCGGGTACTCCTTTTAACTCTTTCTTCTTGTCAAATCACGAAGTCTTTTCAAACAAATGAAACTCATGTAGGCGCACCGAGTCAGTTGAATTTCACCTTCAAATCTAACCTTTTTGTGATTTGAATTAATTTGAAATTCATGGGAGAGAGACAGTCAGAAAAGGATAATACTAATACGCATATGATGTAAGTTGACTTTTACTTTAAGAAACTTTAAAGAGAAATTGTCGAGATTATCTTAAAATATCGTCCAGCAGCAATGATTCAACATAAATACAACTTATAATGCCTGATGCTTTAAAACAAAACAGAAGAAATCAAGTGTGTTAGCAATCGATATCACATCTTCGGATAGAGGGTGCCTGGAACGATTTTTATCAAGTGGAGGTAAAAAAAACAATAAGTAACACGTATTTTACTACATCAGATATGCGAGCTTAAGTAAACTTCACATTAAAAAAAATGGGAACCTTGGGAACTAATCCTATCATTAAACTTTACATTTTAACTATTGCAGCTATCAAATTATGTGCGAAAGACTCATTATACAAGTATGCCTAGCTCTGATAATGATCACCATAGTAGCAAGGCTTTCTTATGGTTCATTATGTACAGACATTTGCTGTTATGGAAGGAATGACACATGTCAATCTTGTAATGGTAGTGACTGTTGTATGTGTGATCAATATTGTCTTTCATCAGGCGATTGCTGTCTAGATTTTATTCTGTGTATAAACAGTACACAAAGTAAGTAAAAACCCTTTAAAAGTAAACACCACTATTTAGACCGTGGCTATTCTTCTGGGTATCCGGAAAAATAGACACTCCGTAACGGTATGATTTGTTAATTATTTTGCGTTTTTTGTTTGTTTGTTATATTTTGAGGTTAATTCGGAGGCAGATCTATGATTGTTTGTGTTTAATTTATACTCAACTTATAAAGACTGCACGACATTTAGAGCTTGATATATCGTATAGGTACCTGTCTATTGCTGAGGACTTTACACTTCCCTCTACATATCTTTTGGATATTTTAGTCGTTGGGTTGCTGTGTCGTTGACATTATTCAATCACATTGAGTTATTTTATTTTTGAAGTTATTTTTAATATGCTTACATTTCAGTCGGAAAATATTATAAATGTATCTTATGATCAATGCGGAATTGAAATAAAGTTATAGATTATTCCATGAGAACGACATGTTTAGTTAGTTTAGTTTCAGAAAAAATATATACAAAGGAATTAAAAAATGTATTTCATGTAAATGTTTAAGACATTTAAAGTAGTCTTAAACCTTTCCGACATATACACGTTACTTGGGCTATTTTATGTTATTATTATTGTAAATATTGTATATGTATTGCTTTATAATAATCGATTAACCGCTTGCTTGCTTGTAATTATTTGTGTTGATTTACACATGCTCATATTATCATTATTACTACAATGTTTCAGAGCATCATACATAACAGAACCATCTGATTATCTAAGTTTAAGATAGATTTAATTATCTACATACAAATTTATTCTATTTTTTTAAGTATAAAAACGATAAGCATTGTAGAGATGACAACGACTGATACATATATATTTTATTTTTGTATAAAACTTGACATCTATTATCGCACATGCTCTCCTATGGCGTGTCAAACGTTGCAATGTTCACAAAAAATAAAATATATGTTCTTGAAAAGAAATAATTGTTCATAAAAATTAAATGTATGTTCATAAAGATAAAACATATATTAAAAAAATAAAAAAAATGTGTTTATAAAATAATATATATATATATATATGCATTGAATTAACTATATGTTGACTTCAATAAAAAATATACATGCATAAAAAATGCATTTTAAGTTACTGTATGAAGCTTCATACAAAATGTGCATCTGTCCACGCTTTAACACCCAAATAAAATTACAAAACGAAACATTCAATTCTTAAATGAAATTTGGAAAGTATGCACACAATTATGTAAAAGTCACATTATTCCTTCAATTTTTTTAGTCAATTTTTTATCGTTTTATTCATATTCTATTTGTCTTTTGAGAATACTCCACTCGAGAACTAAACATGGTGAATGATTATGACAAGTGGAATATGATGTTGCTTTCATTCAAATACTCAGTAAGTATATTTTGTGAATAAAGGAATCAGAACAATACATCCAGAAATTCTACCATTTTTGTAGATTCAATTTACAATATTTGCATGACAAACAGTTTATATTCACGATCTTACTAGCATTCAGTGAAACAATAAATATTACATAACAAGAAATATGCAAACATGATCATTTGTATAATTCAATAAAGGCTAAGGCCAGATGAGAACAATACAAGATTTGAACTTCCTGGTAAAATTCCGAACAACTACTAGTTTTAAATATGACCACAATAAAGAAACTATTATAGTGAAATACTAGTATGAAAAAAATAAATTATGTATACATTTTGAAAAGAAAAAGATATAAAAAAAACACAAATTGTATTGCCATTTAAGACATGTCAAGTGTTTACATCAATCAATGCACATAAATGCAGCATACATGACGAAATATGCAGTAAAACATATTTTGATAGGCAACTTCAAATCTGATTTTGAAACATCTATCGGATGAAGATTTGTATATATATATTTGCGTTTAATTAATAGATTTCTAGATCACACACAACCACTTATACGGCATATAATGAATTCCACTGTCATTTTAATGTTCATCTGATGTAGGTTGCTTCAAATTTTGCCAAATTTTGCGAGTAACGGAGAATTAATTGCAAAAGTATAAAAGTTCTCATTTTCAGAATTCTTGCCAGTTGTAACATTAGAAACACTTTGCGCCTATCATTTATTTCCACCATTTGTTGTTTTCAAATCATTTGAATAATACTGTTATTATGATTTTCTTTAAATCACACAGTAAGAAGCAATAGACCATCGACAAGAAAACGGACAATCCTATTCAATTACGACCGGAGTGGAATGCACTTTATCATGAGTGGGGATCGAACTTGCGACCTCGATATTGACAGTCACAACTTCAGTGTTATTCACTGTAAATGAACTACCTAGACCACTCAGCCACCGAGGCCCTCATCATATGCACACATATAGTTATATGGCATTTAAACGCACATCAGTAGAGACTATAGCTAAACGACAACGTTTGCGGTAGTTCCTGGTAAGCAGAATTATATATTTACTCTTTATCATACCATTGTGATAAGGAAAAAGGCACCATAACTTTTTCTTATAGATCTATTACATATTTTTAGTGTAGTTTTAATAGAAATGAGTTTTAATTTATTTTATAAATAAAAAGAATTTCACTGTCGTCATGTCACCCAAATATATAAGTTAATTTTAAAAGAGATTATATAAAATACCAGAATTAGACAAAGAATTAAAATAGCTATAAATTGTCATTTTTCTACAAAAGATTTACAAAAGCTATAAAGTAGAGTTTATTATATTATCTATTAGCGATAGCAAATATTATGTAACCTTTGACAATATGTTGGATTAGATGTCCGGATTAAGACCACGCTATCGTAGATTTTAGCTCTTAGGTGACATGGGGCCAGTGACAGGGTTTATGAGATATTTTCTTTTGTGTATATAATTATTTTACCTAATTGGGCCTCACCTGGGAATGAAACAAAATTTGTATTTTATGAAATTGTGGTCACTTGAAGATTGACCAGCAATTAATAAAGATCTATTATTTTACAAAGAATTGGTTTTTCATTCCAGGTGAGTGTAACTTTAAGTTTTAAAAGTTGATATTTTTAAATTACACCCCAGTTCTATTGTTATACTTCATAGTTTCTATTTCTGAAACAAGTGTAAATTGAATAGATCTATTGTTACGAATAACAATGGATTTTGACCACAGGGTGTGACGAGCGGGGTTTCTGGAAACCCCTGCTTCTACATCCCGAAAACAAAGTCCATTGTTATTCGTAACAATAGAAATTGATTATTTTTTTAATAGCATGAACATAAGAAATTACTAATAGTGTTCACTACAAATTGTTTCAAGATATTAAAAAAACACATTTTAGGAAATTCCAATAGCGAAAAAAAAATTAAGCATCTATTTTGAATACAAAATTATCCTTTAAACACTCCTTTGCTTGAAGGTATATTTTTTTTTTATCCCAGTCATATGTCTCTATTCTAATTTCTAAAGCATTGAAAAACGGGGATTCTAACTCCCGGACCCCCTCCCCCTCGGTTACCCAGAGGCCGATCAGGGGGTGGAGGTTCCGCGGGTTGGACCCGACTTTTATTTAAAAGATCAATGCAATTTGAATGGTTGGACCCCCCCCCCCCCCTTTTTTTCCCTCTTGAGTTGGGAACCCCTGGCTTGATCAGCCCCTGATTGCCCCCTAAAAGGGAGTTTCTAAATATTAAATCTGTATCTTTGTGTGTTGAGCGTGTCTGGTAGTTGGGTTTCTAATGCAGACACACCTATCCCTTAGTATGTCCGAATATGATTGGGGTTTTTTTTCCCGAGAAGAGGGGGGGAGGGGCTTTTGTTCTATAAAACCGTATTAAAGATATAAAATAAAGTTATGATTACCTTTATTAAACTGATACAGGTAAGTACTTTGGGTTATAATATTGTCTTCATCTTTAGTCTCTTCTACCAAATCCAACGCTTGCCACAAAATGTCGTCTGTCTTATACCCGTCCATCTTGACAACTGAATACAAGGAGCATGATGTATTTTTTGTTAGTAAGAAGAATACACGAAACAGTCAACCTTGACCTGCTGATCCATATTAGCACATGGATTTAACGGGAATATGTTAAACAACTTTGACATTTGTAAAATATACTCACTTGTCAAAGTTTGAACGAAGATAATCAAAGAAAGGTTACTAGTGGGGTTTCATGTAATAAAAAAAATTCTTATAAATCATGGTTTGATATTATCAATAAATATGCTATCGTTTTTTTCATTTTTTTTCATTTAATAATCAATGTTAACAAATATAGGGTTTAGAATGGGGTGTAAGTTAGTTATACACCTCGGGATACGGCGTGTCTGGATAAGAAACCCCTCCGGCCTCCGGCCGACGGGGTTTCTTATCCAGACACACCTATCCCTCGGTGTATAACTATTACTTACACCCCAGTTCTATTGTTATACTTCATAGTTTCTATTTCTGAAACAAGTGTAAATTGAATAGATCTATTGTTACGAATAACAATGGATTTTGACCACAGGGTGTGACGAGCGGGGTTTCTGGAAACCCCTGCTTCTACATCCCGAAAACAAAGTCCATTGTTATTCGTAACAATAGAAATTGATTATTTTTTTAATAGCATGAACATAAGAAATTACTAATAGTGTTCACTACAAATTGTTTCAAGATATTAAAAAAACACATTTTAGGAAATTCCAATAGCGAAAAAAAAATTAAGCATCTATTTTGAATACAAAATTATCCTTTAAATACTCCTTTGCTTGAAGGTATATTTTTTTTATCCCAGTCATATGTCTCTATTCTAATTTCTAAAGCATTGAAAAACGGGGATTCTAACTCCCGGATCCCCTCCCCCTCGGTTACCCAGAGGCCGATCAGGGGGTGGAGGTTCCGCGGGTTGGACCCGACTTTTATTTAAAAGATCAATGCGATTTGAATGGTTGGACCCCCCTCCCCCCTTTTTTTTCCCTCTTGAGTTGGGAACCCCTGGCTTGATCAGCCCCTGATTGCCCCCTAAAAGGGAGTTTCTAAATATTAAATCTGTATCTTTGTGTGTTGAGCGTGTCTGGTAGTTGGGTTTCTAATGCAGACACACCTATCCCTTAGTATGTCCGAATATGATTGGGGTTTTTTTTCCCGAGAAGAGGGGGGGGGAGGGGCTTTTGTTCTATAAAACCGTATTAAAGATATAAAATAAAGTTATGATTACCTTTATTAAACTGATACAGGTAAGTACTTTGGGTTATAATATTGTCTTCATCTTTAGTCTCTTCTACCAAATCCAACGCTTGCCACAAAATGTCGTCTGTCTTATACCCGTCCATCTTGACAACTGAATACAAGGAGCATGATGTATTTTTTGTTAGTAAGAAGAATACACGAAACAGTCAACCTTGACCTGCTAAATCATGGTTTGATATTATCAATAAATATGCTATCGTTTTTTTCATTTTTTTTCATTTAATAATCAATGTTAACAAATATAGGGTTTAGAATGGGGTGTAAGTTAGTTATACACCTCGGGATACGGCGTGTCTGGATAAGAAACCCCTCCGGCCTCCGGCCGACGGGGTTTCTTATCCAGACACACCTATCCCTCGGTGTATAACTATTACTGAATATTTTCATGTTTTATGCATTGATATTTTAAATGATAATTCTCTAGATGTTAAGATATTATAAACTAAGAAGGGTATAGTTGCAGTCGTAACAGCTTATTTGAAGTTAAAAGTATTTTTACATTTACAGAATTTTCCAATGTAAATAGTCATGTTTTAGAGACAAAGTCTTTATGTTTCCTATTATTGAATTTAGCATTGTTTATCCTTCTTTTTAATAATTAGATAATTACAATGTTTAAATAACACGACTTTGTCACATATTTTGATATTTCATAATGTTTAAGTATTTGAAAGAAAAGACTTACTTATTTTAGTCATTTGCTTTATCGTGTAAATATTATATAGCGTCAGTATTTTTATTGAGTTATTTAGTAGTTAATTTGAATCTGATCATAAAGCGCAAGTAGTTATGGTACGTTTCATTCCATTTTGTATGTTGAAAAACATAGCGGTATTAAGCTGTATTTAACACTTTTAAGAATAAAATAAACACTGCGTCAAATGCAAAATTATTAAGAATGTGCATTTTATTCACTATGAAGGCTAAAAGGTAACAACCAGAGTTGTGTATATTGATTTAGTAATCAAGACAGTTTAAGTATGCGTTCGAATCATGTATAAATGTTTGTTTTAAAGTCAGAACTAGAAATGAAAATAAAGCGCAATTCTCTCCTTGTAGCCATATACATTTTTATTGTTCAGATTCCATTGTTGTATATAAGTATAATGTTTTTATACTCTTATGTTTAAAGTAATTATGTTCTGTTTACACTTCATTAATTTAACTTAGTTTTAAAGTAAATTATTTGGTTACCATGGCAACACTTATCAAAATTCAAAAAGAGGCCCTTGTCTCACTCATGTTGACATTATTTGGCATCAGCACATTAATTTAATTGAGCTAGTTAGCTCCCCCATTTTATCTTTATTGTTTTATAATGCGAATATATATGTTCCATCTTTATATTATTATGCATTCAGTTTAAATGATTAATGTTATTTCAATTATATATGTATGAACTTATTATGTATTGTTTATCATGTATACACTTGAAGATTGAAAAGCAATTAATAAAGATCTATTATTTTACAAAGAATTGGTTTTTCATTCCAGCTATTATAGCCAGCAACAAACAAACCAAAAAGAACTATTCCACGTTCACACCATTCCAAGAAGATTTTCTCTTAGATCAAGATTCGGTATAAATGCTTACAAATCTACTAAAAAAATCCCAAGACCTTGAATTTTAGAGTTAAATATACGATCTTCAACAATTGACTTGATTAAACAAAATTTCAGGCACTAAATCAAAGCTATGAATTAGTTTAAATCCCTATAATGACCCCCCCCCCCAAAAAAAAAAATCGGATATAACGATTCTAATACTAGTTTAATGGATATGGAGAATTTAGATGGATCTAAGAAATTTGAAAATCTTTTTAGTTGTAACTTTAAGTTCATGGGTAAATACTTCACCACTGCCATGAATTATATAATACATATTTAAATTTCCCGTTATAAATTTAGAAATCACTAACAGCACTAAGGTTTCTTCTCCCTTAGGACTGACCTGAAATAGCACGTTTTGGCTTCTAGTATTCTGTATAGGTCCTATTTTTGTTATATAGTCCCCCAAGTGTTTATATATCCCCTGTTTTATAATTTCAGGTTCAGACCAACACAGTAGTGAAAACAGTTGGAATTCATAACTCTTATCGGAGTAGGAGAAAACGTGCGTTTGCAGATCGAATCACTTCCTCTATGAGTGCATTATCCTTCATCCGGTTAGAAAGTCAAATCCAGTAGCAGTAGCCAGGAACGAGACTAAATCGGCAATGATATTGGATGAATGTACAGGGCCTTTGGTAGACTTTGATTGTAATAAGTTGAGAAACTAGAAGCTGTAACATAATCTAGTGATGGTGACCATATAACCTTGCTGAAGTAGTCATTGGATTTAGACTACACATCTTTTGAATAAAAAACCAACACTTTATTAATTTCGTGTGTCCACAGGGCTTTTCTGGATTTAATTTCATCAGGAACGCTCAAACCAAAAACACTTAAAACTCAAGGATGCATAAGAACTAAACACGCGAAGAGCTGTATGACCGAAAAGAACAGAAACTTATCCAAATTCAGCTAAGGTCAGCTTTACCTGAGAGAGTTAAATCATCATGAAAATAAGCTCTGTTTTGTGATGGAATGATACTAAACCCCATATGATGAAGACATAATCTTTCAATCAGTTTAATTAAGGTTTGGAGCTGGCATGTCAGTAACTGCTAATAATCCTTTGTTAATTTATGTTGATCATTGTCATTTTGCTAAGTTTCTTCTGTTATCTATTCTAACATCGGACTCGGACTTATTTTAAAATGAGTTTTACTGTACGTATTGCCGTGTGTCTGTTTATTCTACATTGGCTAGAGGTATAGGGGAGGGTTGATATATCAAAAAAACCCGCCGCATTTTTGCGCCTGTCCCAAGTCAGGAACCTCTGGCCTTTGTTAGTCTTGTATGTATTTTAATTTTGATTCATTTATATGTTTCCGAGTTCAGTGTGACGTCCATTTTCGCTGAACTAGTACACATTTTTGTTTAGGGGCCAGCTGAAGTCCGCCTCCGGGTGCGGAATTTTCTTGCTGTACTGAAGATGCAGGTGGTATGTTTCATCACTAGCCCAGTAGTCAGTAATTTTGCGTTGACATGAAAAATCATTGATAATGTTCATTTCTGTAAATTTACTGTTTATAAAATGTAGTATTATTCGAAACTTAGGTTTTTCTACACCCAGGCATATATTGCTGTAGCCGTATTTAGCACAACTTTTCAAAATTTTCGGTTTCTGATGCTCTTCAATTTCGTATCTGATTTTGCCTTCCAATTGTTTTGATTCGAGCATCACTGATAAGTCTTGTGTAGGTGGACGAAACGCGCGTCTGGAGTACCAAATTATATGCCTGGTATCTTTGATGAGTTTTTTATTTACAAAAATGGGAATGGAATATTGAGAGATGAGTAATTTATTCTATTAATATTTCATATTTCTTTACAGATGACGGACAGTCAACTGTTTAAATAGGTAAATAGAAAATCATAAATGGCTTTTGGTTAGATGAACTATTGTAATTATTGGCTGGACCAATCAATCGCATAATTAATAGGATTCTCAAAAAGTTGTTGTATAATGACAGGATGTTACTTACCCTATTATGAAGTCTTCAAATAAATAAATTGCGATCATTCTTGTCTTGCTAAGCAAAGACTAATCGTTTTGAAAACTCATTTCATCATAAAAGTACCACTTTATTATTGAGAGATATTGATCGTCAGGAAAGTACTTGTTTAATTTGTAGAAGAGAGGCGGGGGATACAAAAGGAACATTCAAAGTCGAATATAAACTGACAACTCCATGGCAAAAAAAGAAAAAAGACCAATAGACTAACAACAGTATACAAAAACAACATAGAAACTAAAGACTGAGCAACACGAATCCCATCAAAAACGGGGTGATCTCAGGTGCTCCGGAAGGGTAAACAGATCCTGCTCCACGTGTGGCACCCGTCGTGTTCCTCATGTTGGTACAAACCCGGTGATAAGTCTAAATCGGTAGGTCACATTCGGGGAAAAGCGGAGGGATTGTAGTCATCTGTGAAACGGATATTCAATAAATATCAATCAATGATCGATAATCGATATGAGTGGAAATGTTTTCACTTTATGAATATCTTTATTTAATTCAAATTATCACGCAGAAAAAAATAAAGATAATAAATTAAAATACAAGGCAGTCTTGGCCTGTCAAACAACTATATTGAATGAATATTTTGTTTTAGAAAATACATTTCAAATCCGCAAGTTGGTAACTGAAAAAATCTATGAAAATGTCTACACTATTCACACGGAATTCACCAACAGTCCCAATATGTACTGCATTCGGTACAATAGAAAGCATCCTTGTAAACGAATCCTCGCTATTGTCCAATTGTGAATATCTCAACACCATTTGCCTTTAGATCATTTAAAACAGAAGAATTGGTATCATCAACATTATCAGTAAATCGCGATATTATCAGAAGTACTTTCTTAGCAGTATATCTGGCTCCATATGCATTTTGGTTAAAGACAATTTGAACTGATGTTAGTAAATTAGAAACGTTAGAAGCAACTTTAAAGTTACTTCGAGTAAAACTTGAAAGCCTACGTTGCAAAAAAACTTTTATTTTGTGGTGATACCTGAATAAAATTGAATTGTGTGTTCACTGTCTGGTCAAATGTTATGAGTGAAAGCCATTTGACATGTTGCCTATCTTAACAAGTATCTTGTTCATAATGTCGGGTATGGTTGTCAGTAGGTCGTCACTATACATACTGCAGGATGTATCCACTGCTAAGAGCACATCTGTTTCTGATGACATAGAACAATCTTAAAGAAGAAAACTGACAGTAGATTATTTTATAAAAATATTGATTAAAGCTAGAATGTCCATAACATGATTAGAGTTGAATATATACAACAAATTACATAAATATAAAGATATGTTTAAGATATTTTATTGGTTTAAACATGTGCACATTTGTAGTCAGTTGTGCTTGAAAAATCAACTATCAACAATCAGGACAATTTGTTACCAAGAGCAATTTGCCAAAAAACAAATAACATAGAAATGACACCAGATTGGCTATGCCATCTAAAAACAATTTTTAGAGGATATTGTAATTTGGAAAACTATATTTCAGAAAACAATCAAACATCGTTCCATATCCAATAAAACTACCGATTCTTATACGTTGTTGATTGCTTAGTAATTAAAATGAATCCCGAATGTCATATGTTTCCTCAGTTGCATTCAATTAAATTTCTTTTGTACGCAGTCTTGAAGTTTTTGTAAAAGGTTATTCAACAGTTAATAACGCTTTCACTTCAAAAATAATTTAAAGGAATGCATTTATGTCGTTTATACCTCTTTTATTTTTTTTGTGTCTACGCAAAAACTCTATCAATTGTTTCATTTTGATGACAATAACAGACATGTCACTCCCCCTGTTTTTGGTGGAGTTCACGTTGCTCAATCTTTAGTTTTCTATGGGGTGTTTTGAGGATTTGTTCGTTTGTTCGTTTGTTCGGTGTTTTCTTTTATTATCATAGCGTGGTCAGTTTTTCTTCGACTTATGAGTTGTTAATGTCCCTTTGGTATCTTTTGTCTCTTTTTTACTGCAAAGAGGTAAGACAATTTCCCCTTAATTTCTTTCAAATCAGTCCCATTTTAATAAATCATTCAGTGTTTGCTATCAAAGCTAACAATCTCGTGGCTTATTTCTAGATGAATGACCAAATTGGGAATGCATTAAAAGAGTTAAAAAATTACTGCAGTATTGCAAATTTTGAGTATTTACATAAAAAAATGTTTACGAAGGGCATTCAAGACCAAATCAAACATCGACTGGAGGTAAAGACTCATAAAAGATGCCACTTATCACTTAGTGCATCAGATGTCGCGTCTTCCGTCTAAAAAGGTATAAAGTTTGTACGATCACGGAAAATAATTGAATTAAATTGGATTAAAAAATTACAGACAGTCTACCCTCTCGGTCTTAATGATAATATCATGGGAATTGGTAATATATCAAGAACCGATTCTGTTAACATTTTGGATATAGTTTCTAAAACTGTTCGTAAAAACCGTTCTCATGGGCGTAGAAAAATCGCAATCAAAGAAAATTTCAGACCAACCATACAAATATTTCGGACCTAATATCTATTTCAAAAAACAACGGCAGACATTATCTATTAACCAAGCTCTGTTCTTTACCTATAAATAAATTAAATAAAATTTTAGAGGATTGCAACACAATTTCATATTGCAGTCCTAAGTAAGAAACCGTTCAAATTATAATGGCATATTGTTATTCTAAACTGTTTCCCAAAATTGATCGCCCTGAAGATCATAAAAAACATTTTATTAAAATAAAGTATGTCAATAAAGGTTTTGATTTTGTAAATATTGCCGGTATTTTTAACGACCATTCTGTTAAAGAACAAATTCCTGGATATTTTGATAATACTGAACTCCCTCTTATTTGTTATATTTACAAGAAATCTACCCGAAAATTTGTGTTTAATTATAGCCAAGTCTGTAAAGATGTAAATATCAGTGAAAATACACCTCCGTCATGTAATTGTAGTAATTCCGAATACGCTTATGGCCCCATTTCCCATGTTATAACAGGAGACCTTAACATCGTTCGCGACCGAGAGTTAAAATCATTCTCAGTAAAGGACCTAAATATCGTCCCCCGTCAATTATTAATTGGAATGAGTGTCGTAATATCATCCACGACTCACTTCGTGCTTGCTGTTTGAAATGGATAAAACAGGGAAAAAGCTGACAAAAAATCTTTGAACCCTTTTTTTAATTCAGTAATGAAGATAGTTGATATACGTATACAACATTTTAAAGAACAGTTTACTCTTAACAACAACCATAAGGAATTTGTTTTAGTCCCGGCTGATAAAGCTGCTAATAATATCATTATAGTTTGACGTAAATTTTACATTGAGGTTCTGCAAAAGGAAATCACGAATTCACCAACATTCCAACTGACTTCATTTTTAGAAAACGATATCTGTAACAAACATAAACTATTAGCTACTTCTTTACAAGCAGAACCAAATACAATGAAAGTCCCAACTATGTACTGGCTTCCGAAGCTACACAAATCACCTTACAAATATAGATTTATTTCGTCTTCAAGTCATTGTTCCACTACTAAATTGTCTATTCTACTTACTAGTACACTTGGTACAATCAAAAACCTGATAATAAATTGTTCAAATAAGGCCTTTGAAAATAGTGGAATTAACTACTTTTGGAGTGTCAAAAACTCGTTGGAAGTACTTGATAAATTGCATGCATATATTGGTGATTTTGAATCTGTTCAAAGTTTTGATTTTTCTACCCTATATACCACTTTGCCTCATATTCTTATTAAGAA